CACCGCAACTGCTGCAGATCCGAAGGCGGAAAGGACGCCGATCAAGATACCCTTGCCGGTAGAACCCGAAGAATTGCCACCAGCGCTGACCAGACCGCCATCTTGACTTGAAGAGGACATTGCCAACAGGACATGTTCAATATTGGATGCCGCCCGTTGAGGATCGGTGATCGGATAGCGAGACTGTGAGGCTGGTGACGTTGTTGGATCGCTTATCACGGAAGTGGTGAGGGTCGAGGGAGCACCCCATAGGGCACTGAGCCCCGATGCCTCAGATCCCCGCATTGTTCATTGACTGGTTTGGGACTCGACGTCAAATTTAAATCAGTATAGAAAGAGTTGACAAAAACAAAAAGAGGGAAAAATATACTGCAGCGAACAAAGTAGATGGAAGTGAGGGGGCGGAAGGAAGAGGGTATAATGATGAGATGAGAAGATGAGTTGGTGAGATGACAGTACAGGAACAGCGAAGTTAATAGTCCAGAATCGCCGCCATGTGGGGAGGCGCAGCGACGCTTCCGGACAATTGCGTTCGGATAACGAATGTGCTGGTTCAACTAACTGTATTACAAAGAACAGATCGGGGCTGTAGCAATGGTTGTCTTCCATATAGTATACTATCACCAGGCTCAGAAATTGGAATGCTTTATGCTTGTATCCCATGGATGCAAGGCCAAGAAAAGGGATGAGTAGTGATAGTTATTCTACCACTCCTTGGAGTCCTTCGTGCGCCTTCTAATTCCTACCGCCCAAGAAAGTATGGGATACCAGCGTATGGTTATTACAAGGACAGATGATGACCCTGCGTCCAGCCTAAGAACAGGTACTACATACATACATACATAACATACGGAACTACAACCTCCGTACTCCGTACAGTACCTGGATTTTAAGAAGACTTACTACAACTCCGGTAGTACTAGTAGCATCACAAGGTGTAGTTTAAATACCGGATGTACGGTATTGTATCAGTAGGTCGTACCCGACCTCAACTTAACCGCCTCCAAATTAAACAAACAAGCTGAGCGATGATACATCTCTCTTTGCTCCTTCTTCCCATTCTTGTGGTTCCTTGCTGCCCCTTGGCTTCCCATGTAGATATATAGCTCTTCCTGCCTCTCACACTTCTTCGTAAATATGCGTTCACACATATCTCCAAGTATGCGTGTCTCAGAGCCATCTGATGTTGTCATCCGCTCTGACGATACCTGCCATATCCGCCTTACTTGGGCAGGCAGCGAGTGCGATAAATATCCAGGTATGCAAAGGAGCCAAATCCTCTGGATTCTTCCCCTCCATCCCTTTCTTCCGAGCTCCTAGAGTGACCTTGATGGCTTTTGGAGGCTGACAGGCGGCGGTCCGCAGCGAAGCAACATGCGCGTAAGGTGGCCATGAAATTAGGAGTGTCCTCGGGCCTTATCTACCTTGTCGGCCAGCCTACGGTCAATTGGGGCGACTCAGACCAACCACAGCCATTCCGACAGAGACGTTATTTCTACTACCTCAGTGGAATAGATGAGCCGGATTGTTATCTAACGTACGATATTGGAGCTGATTTGTTAACGTTATACGTTCCGGACTTCGACCTACGTCGTGCGGTATGGATGGGACCGACGCTGACTATCGAGGAGGCTCATAAACAATCGGACGTGGACCGCGTCAATTTTTTCGCTGCTTTACAACATGATCTTGAGTGGTGGACAAACAAGAATAAGGGGTCTCATCCGATATATGTCCTGCATAATAGCCAAAAGCCAGTGATACCATCAAAGTGCCCCTTGCTAGATAACGAACGGCTCCTTCCTGCAATGAACGCAGCTCGGGTAATCAAGGACGAATATGAGCTGCGGATGATACGTCAGGCCAATTGTATATCTGGCCTGGCACATCGCAAAATACTTGAAGGTATTCACCGCATGTCCACAGAGGCAGAAATTGAGAGTTCGTTCTTAGCTACCTGTATCTCCCACGGTGCCAAGAACCAGTCATATGCGATCATTGCTGGCTCAGGAGAGAACGCGGCTGTTCTTCATTACGTTAAAAACAACGAGCCCCTCGATGGAAGACAGCTGGTTTGTCTAGATGCCGGGGCAGAGTGGAAATGCTACGCAAGTGACGTGACCCGTACGATTCCTTTGTGGACAGACTGGCCTAGTGAACGTGCAAGGAACATTTACCGTGTAGTTGAGGAGATGCAGGAAGAGTGTATTAGACGCATCCGAAAAGGCGTGCGGTTTCGAGATCTGCAGTTGCTTGCACATGATATTGCGATCAAAGGGTTGCAGCAACTCGACATACTCACAAACGACTGCACAAGTGCCATCTACGAATCCGGGGCATCTGCTGTTTTCTTTCCTCATGGTCTGGGTCATCATGTTGGTCTCGAGGTCCACGATGTCTCCGAAAGGCCTATCACAGCTTTAGATGGGAATCAAACTAACTGGGGTAGCCATGACTTCGTACCGCTTCTTACCGACGGCAATTGGTCTGTACCATTATTGGACGAGGGCATGGTAGTAACCATTGAACCGGGCATCTACTTCAATAGACTCGCCCTTCTCAGTGCGCAGAACCTGCCATTGGCGAAATACATTAACTTCGACGAGGCTGAGAAGTACATTCCTATTGGCGGCGTCCGCATTGAGGACGACATTTTGGTCACCGCTGAGGGGTACGAGAACCTGACAACAGCACCGAAGGGAGAGGAAATGTTGGAGATCATCCGTCGCGGGATCGACAATTCTTAGTCTCAATCCCATATACTCCAGGTGGAGTCGTCACTATCATTTTGTGGTTTCAACTACTCCGTACTTTCGGGTCAATGATCTTGGATAATTTGGAGCAAGGGGATTCTAGACTCGTAAGGACGATGTATCAAGAGATTGCGGTGTAATTTATGGAGGCCTCTAAGGAGTAGTCCCGTCTCCTTTCTGGGGCTTTTCCTAGGCGCCACCTCTTGAACCATCTCCATCATATCCACACCACTTTTACCTATATTGGCAATAGCAATAATATATACCCGCCTTCTAGAAGGCTTTCTTCTCCACAGATCGAAACGACCACCACGGTGCACCACCGCACAGAATGATTCGCCGAGAATCCTCATAATTATTCGCCAAAGATTCCTTATGTGGCTTTACATTCCTACAGGGCCGACAAACTGAAATCCCTTAGTCCGACAGTATGTACCCAATTAATATCTCGACCGGCTGGTCTTCAAATAAGTAATAATTATCTACATGGCGATTGGGACAACCACGTCTTATCCTGAGCCTGAAGCCACTGAGGATAAATGAAGAAGTGGAGGAAACGTTGGCAGGGAAGGATACAGAGAGTCCTAGACATAGTACTCCTACATGACCTATGCCCTACATGTCAAAACCCAACAAACGATACAGCTGTCCAACGAGACCAACATAATAATCCATCAATGGGAGCCCTCCGTGTGCTTTGAAAAATTTTCAGGTGTGCTTGCACAAGTGGATCACTGACGCATGCACAAACAAGTGTCAAATGATGATAGCTTCCTCGTTAGTCGAGTTTGAGGTAGGTACGGACCTAATGATGGACTGGTCAGCCCACTCGAAACGCGCATGAGACTAGCTGCAGCTCCCCAATAGTAAAGCTCTACCTAGTCTAGCTTTTGTGTGTACCTAGTACCTACTAGTAGTGTCCCAAACTAACAGCTACTACTATGGAAAGGAGGTGATACCCAGTCCAGCAACACCCAACACGCCAGCAAGAAAATAAACCGGAATGATGAAAAACCCAGCCTGATACTTAACCATCTTTCCTTGTCAGGTTGGAAAAGAAAGTTTGTCAACCTTTCGCTTTTGTACACAGTATTGGCTATTTTGAAACACGGTCGAGTTTCCATCCCTATGATATCATTGCGGTCATGCCGCGAGATCCGTTGATGGATGACGAGGGCAGATTTGAGATGTTCTTCAGTGTTCTTCTGACTAAATCATGTTCCCTGTTAACTAGTTATGCAAAATTACACTTGGTATGTATCGGACCTATGAGCGCGCCGATCGGTCCGTACGGCATCCCTTCTTTCTGGACAGCTTTAGGCACGGGAGCTGCGGCATCGGCCTCGTATGGTATTGTCAGCAGGCAGTTTTGAAGGAGATCGGCACGAGAATTGCCGTCATGCCACCACTGCAATTATTTTTTATTTTTGCTGCCTTCCTAAAATTTCTTAGTGTGGCTTTCTAACGTCTCCTGATCGGGATCTACGCAACTTGCATACGGACCCCTGCTATTTGTCTGCGACGGAGCCGTACTCCGGACTCCGACTTGCTTTTTTGTTAGATGTATAGTACCTCCTCTGGTACAGCGTACAATGAGCCATTAACGACGATTGGATGTAAATACCTCAATGACTATTTTTTTTTCTTTGAATTCTTGCTACTGTGGCATCAGATCTTGCATGACAATTGAGTTGAGCATGCCTTGACTTTTTTTTTATCTTGTTCCCTGAGGACATTGACGGTAGGATGACTCAAGAGCACGCAAGAACAAAATCCGCTACGCCATTCCAGATTTTGATGAGGCCATTTTTCACCATAGTAAGGGCTCGTTAGGTATTTTTGCTTCTAGACTGCAGAATGTGGAGATGGTACACCCGAAGTAGGGTCTTGTTGTGGATCCCCCGTCCCGGATGATGAGATTTTTCTTCCCTTTTTAACTCCGGCTCCATTTTCGGCCCTAGTGAGTCACACCACTGGAGCCAGCACACCCCATTGTAGTCATTGATGCTATATAACGTAGCTGATGCAGGATGCCTCCTGAATTTGGCCTTTTAATTCCTTTCCTCTACCTCATCTCATCCTTCCCAGGGGTGATGGTCACTTCCCTCATTACGACCCTATAACGTTCCTCAAAAGTTCTGATATTTCATCCTTGCCTGTTTACTTTCTCGTCAATTCCGGGTGTCACAAAAGAAAAAGAAAACTATCGGAAGAACCGTCCTTGTCGCTCGCTTAGGTTGATAGAGAATGGGACAAAGGCATAATAGACGTCGCACACGCCCACGATCTAGAAACCGCAGCGTTAATCACTCTACCATTGAGCTGCCTCCATATCCCGTCAAATACTCGCGCAGTCCAGCCCCTAAAACGACCCCTGCCGCCTGCGATTCACTCGACTCCATCTCGATATCCTTCGCCCCGACCTGGCATTATGGGTATACAACATGGCAGAAGCGTGACCGTACGTTACGGCTAGAGGCCTTACAGCTGGAGGCCGAGCAATGTCGTCTTTTTGGAGGTGAACCGGGGGATGACGTCGGACTTTGCTATCGCATGCTCGAATATTTCGGTGGACTTGATTATATCGACTCGTAAGCTACCCAAGCCCTGATCTGTGTATTTTTTGATCGTCTCTTCTAACTGGTTTTATTAGCTCACAGAGTCCGAGACCACTACCTGGGTGAAGGGCAACTTAAGATAAGAAGCATTTACCGCCATAACCGCCCTTACCATCAGATTTGGAATGTTGGAATTCTAAAAAAAGATTTCTCCACATCCAGAGCCGGTGCCTGGACAGACTATCCTGCAAGATGAAAAAAGCAAAAATCTATCGACAGCAGGAAGCCACCAACTTGAAAATAGTCGGGAGCACCAGTTCCGTGGGCAAAACCAAGTTTTCGACTTGTAGCAATGAAGATTCCTCCTGTGCAAAGCAGGATGCGTATCGGATTGGTCCCTTACGACTTGGCCACGAGTCCCTGGTCCAGAAGATGATCACGTCTGTCACGTCGAGAACCGAGAGTTCTTCTGATTGGTGGGTTGAGTTCGCATCTGGCCATGTGTTGGTGCTTGAAATCCCCGCTAAACAGGAAGCTCATGAAGTATCTCCGCCGCATTCTTTGTCAGATTCTTTGCCCCGACTATTATACGATCCACCATACTGTCCGAGATCAACGGTAAAGAGAGGAGAACACCATTGATATAAGACATTCCCTCTCATATCCAGTCGTCTGTTCCACCGAACCCGAATTTGGGTTCATTCATGGGAAAGAAATCAAGCTCAAAAATCTCTTTTTGACTCATAAGCTGATTTTATGTTCACCGGAGGAATAGAGCCCTCTAGCACGATGAATGAATTGTGATGATCCGTCATGTATAAAATTTATAGAACGGTGTGCTTTGTATATCATAATGACCATGTATCTCTAAGACATGCTGCAAAATGTTCACTGTAGGTTGTAGTCCTCAATAATGGGAAAAGAGTACTAGTTCTAAATCCTCTAGCGCTGGCGGGTACGTAGTCTCATTCCTAGTTCCTCAGCAAACGCCCTGCAAGCCTTATTTTCGTGGCGACGACAGCACCCTTACGCTAAGTTATTTTTAGAAGGCGGTGTGTATCGCGACCGCCCCGTAAAGGACACGGTCGATCAGATTGAAGGTTAGTACCACAGCGGATGCGATAATTATCGAGATACTACGGACGGAACAACCTTCACTTCTGTCTCCTTTACCTACCCTGTGAGGGAACATGCTCCTGGGAACAGCCACCTAGTCCTACATCTGTCGCATATTACTTGTCTGTCCAGGAAGTTACTTATAGCGCCACACATTGAGTGTCTGACGGTCACACGTTGTCCTTATAGTCTTGCCCATCGCGGGCGACCGTGTCTTCTATAAATCCGCTTCACCATGTCTACAGATTACACCTATGATGAACAGGTCTGTACTCAGCTTTTCCCCAAAGCTTCTCAATCAAGTAGCTAACAATCATACTTCCTTCAGGGTCAATTTTTCCCGTTCTTCATCCTAACCCTTACGGGCCTTGTTACACTCCCGTTAACATATAACCTTCTCAAGCCGAGCAAAGGTCAGCACTGACTCTTGTTCTGATTCACGCTGATTTCATATTTTCCGTATTTTAACCTTTCAATCGATCGCTGCAGAACTTGAGAACACCGCCCCTCGAATAAAGTCGGATTACAAGCCGGAACATGGCGATCTCATTGAAGCGCAGAAGCGTAAGCGTCTACGCAAGGAGCGCAGAATCAAGCGCATCGTTACCGTTGTCTTGGGATATGCAGTTATGGCTTGGATGGTATATTTGATTATTGTCACTGCCAGAACAGCACCCAAGATCTGGGATCCATATGACATCCTCGGTATCTCAAGGGTGAGCTTCCGTGTAAAGTCCACCCAAGAGAGACTACTAACTGACTGGCTTCATCTATCAGAGCGCCGATGAAAAAGCGATCTCTAGGCACTACAAGCGTTTGTCTCTTATCTATCACCCCGACAAGATTCGGCCAGACCCCGCGAAGAATGAGACTATCGAAATGCTCAACGAGCGTTTCGTTGAGCTGACCAAGGCCTACAAAGCACTCACAGATGAGGAAGTTCGTAACAACTATATTCAATACGGTCATCCCGATGGCAAGCAAAGTTTCAGTATTGGAATTGCTTTGCCACAATTTATTGTCACGGAAGGAAATGGGAAGTACGTTCTGCTCGTTTATGGCGGCTTGCTTGGTGTTCTCCTCCCTTACATTGTCGGTCGGTGGTGGTATGGCTCACAGCGATACACTAAGGAGAGAGTCCTCGTGGCTAGTGCAGGAAACATCTTCCGAGAATACAAGGATGGTATCACTGGGGGTGGAATAGTCGGTGCTCTTTCCTCTGGTGTCGAGTTCAAGGATATGCTTAAGGGCTCACAAGCAGAGGCTGGCCTGGCGAAACTGGAAAAAATAGTTTTGTCAGATGATTCCTCAATCCTCTCTTCTGCAGACCGCGAAAAGCTTAAGGAACTGGATGATTCTACACGCCGGAAGGCGCTTGCTTTGTTGTGGGCTTACCTCGGCCGTATTGACTTAAATGATTCTACACTCGATGGAGGTAAGTTTTATATTGGTCAGAGTGGATTATACATGGTCAATTCATTAATCTTCCTATGCAGAAAAGTACGAGGCCGCCCCTATTGCGCTCTCTTTGAATGAAGCCTTCACAGCCATTTCTCTCGCCTTTGGTAACCTTCGTCCCATTTTGAGCTCTTTCCAAGTTTCTCAGAACTTAATTCAAGCCATCGCTCCGGGATCATCTCCGCTTCTCCAATTGCCCTACTTCACTGATGGCATTGTCAAGTCTGTTGAAGGCGAAGACGCCAAAACTCACTTCAACGTCCAGAAGTTCATGAGCCTGCCTGAAGATAAGCGTCACAGCCTCACAGTTGGTGCGGGCCTTTTATCTGAGAAGCAATACGCAAATGCCATCTCTGTCGCTAAGCAGCTGCCCGCTCTCGAAGTTTCAAAAGCATTCTTCAAGGTTATGGGAGAGAAGGTTATCACGCCAAGCAGTCTTGTCCAGCTCGTTGTCAAAGCACGGTTCATCCCGCCTGGCTATTCGAACGTTCCGGAAGTGAACTCAGCCGACCTTGAGGATGCTGACCCTGATGAGGATGATCTCGATGCTCTCATGGGTCGCAAGTCTACCAAGACCAAGAAGCTCGCCAACGGTGAGAAGGTGGAAAGCAAGGTTGAAGCCATTCAACCGCCACTGGCCCATGCACCATATCTGGCTCGTGATCACTCTCCTCGGTGGCATGTTTTCTTAGCCGATCCCAAGCAAGGCAAGATGGCCGTTCCACCATTTACCTTCACCACCTTTGATAAACCCTTGTTCGATGAAGCTGGAAAGCCTACATTCAACGTCCAAACTCTCAAGATGCAGTTCCAGGCTCCCCCCCAGGTCGGAGACTTTACCTTCGTAATGCACTTGCTCTGTGACAGCTACCTTGGTCTTGACACGAAGATGGAAGTCACACTTCACATCGATGATCCTGCTAAGGCAGCTGCGCTGGAGGAAGAGGACGATATCAGTGAGCCCGATGAAGGTAAGGCTTTCTCTTTACTAGACAGTATATCCCTAACTAGAAACCACGCTAATATACCATCAACTACAGATTCTATTGCCGGTCAAATGCAGGCCTTGAAGACCGGCCAACCACCCAAGAAGAAGGCCAAGAAGCCAGATGATGATTCTAGTGAGGATGAAAGTGACACCGACGGTGATGCAGGAGATACCAGTGATACCAACACCGAGACCGACGTTGACGATTAAGCGGTCCAGCGGGTGGCGAAGTATGGAACTAATCAAAAAAGGACAAAAAAAGGAACAACTTAGTCAGACGAAACAAGAAGGCGATCTTAGTCGAGAATATGACGGTGCAGAAGGAGATTCGGAGAGGTGGGATGATAATTACGTCTTCCTCCGTCCTCATGATATCTTCTGATTGTGATTACTACATATATCGGGCTTATTTATTTTTTCTTACATACCTGTTAGATTATGCATTATATCAGGGAGTTTAAATCTTTGTCTTTCGGAGTCTGGTTACCGTTGTGGTATGTGATTAACTCGAGAGCAAAAGTAATGTTGGATGTAGTTTATGTTCCCAATATATCTTCATATTCATGTACCCATGTAAATCCGATTGCACGGAACTATCAACTCTGGCTCTTTTTTCCTTCTGCATGCGGGAGTTGTTGGCTAATAGCAGCTTGTTGAGTCACTTACAGAGGCCAGGAACTAAAGGCGATATTGGTGTTAGTGATAGCTATTTCCAGTTCTTAGATAGAGCTATGTAGGAGAACAAAGTGGAAAAGATATAGAAGGTAGGAGTGGAATTTGTGATAATCAGTAGATATGAGTGATGGTCAGCGGCTAGCCATGTTTTTTTTAATATTCATGAAGAACACATAGTTTTTTTATAAACTATCGAGGGTTCACCCTGCAATGTCTACAGCAGAAATGATCATAGTCCAATTTCATAGTACTTAGGCCTGTAACATCATCTGCCATGAGCTTACTTCAGAGACGAAAGCCACATCAATTTTAGAACTTGGTTGAGAGACTGCCATAGTTTAGCACACAAGAGTTAGTCTTCTCATTACACAGTGCGTTTTGTTTTATTCTTTGAACCGGTATGCAACTCTATGAAAGTAGTTGCTTAGTGTCAAAATTCACCATTGGCCTAGTTGACCTTCAAGTAGACATCTGGGCAAATTTCCCAGTAGGGATTTGAGAAGAGAATTATATGAGTTGTCTGTTCGGACAAGGGTAAGAATTCCGCTTTGCTGCGCGTGTGGGTCTAGATGAGTTAGTGCCAAAGTGTTCCTAACCAAAGCTAATCAGTAATGAAGGTGGTGGAATATTAATATGAATACATAAGATGGATACCACTTTCTGGTTACTATCCATACCCATGTGTAGCTGTTAATCCCTTTCTATAGAACAACAGCCATCAATTCCCGAAGAGAAATGGATGACGGTCTATAACACTACAAGGGACAGTGAGCTTGGGTGACATACTGGTGCGGCTTCCTCGAGGCTACCTCACTCACCCTCTTGCCCCTCTGGCTTAGTAATTGACTGACTTCATTCTTCATACTGCTCAGGGTGTGCTCAGGTCGGCTCAGTGAGCGAATTCCAGACCCGAGCAGTAAAATGAAAGGGAAAGACGCGATTGGTCTAACCCCCGGTACATATGTGCAACTATAAGCCCTAGATGGTCGAAGGCGTAGGGGAAAAGTTATCAATTGGGGATATGACCACTTCAGGTACTGAATTGATAGACAGCTATCGCCAATGAAAGTAGACAAATGGCATAATAAATGCCTCGACCTTGCCCAAGGTTGGGCAGGCAGATTTGGGTCGGCTTCTGTCTCCCATAGAAGGACCATGCGTTTACTACGCTGGATATTGATGGTAAAAGAGGTCTGAGGATGGCTCAGGATGAAGAGAGGGGTATATGCCACGCACTCATATGATAGTGAAGCGAGAGGTAAGGTGAAGACAAGAAACCAAATGGGTGTGCCAACGCGTCCTACGCGTGTAGAAAGACCTCGTCAATGGGAATATAAATAGAAGAAAGATACTAGTCAAGGAAGAGATGATCAAGAAAGGGAATACAGGAGGGAGATTCCCCACGAGAGAGTCAGAAGTTCAACCACATGGGTAAGACGCCCAGCTAGGTGCAAGGCCCTGGTAGAGTGATTGTTGATCGTGCAAATGAAGGCTGTAGTTACTGAGAATTTCAGCAGGCATACCAGTAGAATGATGATTAGCCCTCGGCCCTGCGGTCAATCCAGGGTGAAGAGGGGCCTTTGTTGATTCTGCGTTGCCACTAGTACCCGTATAATAGTAATATGAGTTTTCTGGGTTAGACACAGGAGGCAGTGCTTCGGAACACTTGCTCTCAGATACCAGACCAGCTGACCGAGGCATCGTCACGCTATGAAACCCTGAATGTTGGTAGCTGGCAAATTGTTCATGATGACCCGGGTGAGCAGGTTGATATTCCCATTTATAAGGACCACCGGCCTTAGTGGAGGGGCTCACAGGACTGCAGTGGCTAGAAGAGGGCTCCGGAGGAGTAACAGGCTCTGGGGATGGATCGGAGGTTGCGCTGCAATCAGTAGAAGCCATATATCGCAGATATTGAAGATCTTCCGAGTCTTCATCTTGTTCATCCGCATTCTCCTCGGCTTGTTTTATTAGTCCGAGGCGGTCCAAAATTGCATGTGTCAAAGGATAACCGTCAGATGACTCTGTAAGGGGCTCTCCCGGAAACCCGTCTTTATTCAGGCAGAGCTTATAGAGCCTCTGCAGTGCTTTCACGACAAGTGAGTGGTGCGATTCGAGCATTTCAACGAACCTGTTCAATCATCACACCAGGATTAGCTTCCTTCATAAGCCGCTGAGATGGAAGAACCTAAGCAGAAATGCTCTTACCCTCGCGAATAGACCTTTGTCTGCGTAGCCTTCCTCTCCCGAAAGAGACATGGATGGTTATACGCGGAACAGCGGTTACATGGTTGTTTCCCGTCACACTAAACTGAATGAGTATGACTGGCCGTTGAATCCTACAAGAAAATGCAAGATAGCGGTATAGGAGTTTTGGCTGCTTCACCAACCTTGGTCTTCTTGACTCTACAGCGATCGCAGGCCTTGAGAACATGCTTGCGCTTGACGCGAAAGACACGTTGGTCGTGCTTATCTTCTCCTAGCGACGTGCGAGCTTCCAGCTGCGACAAAGACGACATTGTCGCAAGATCGTACATGGCATCTGGGAAGCCAGGAATGTGCGACTTTGGCCGTAGCTTCGGTTGGCGGGACATCATTTTCAGAGAGCACAAGTGTGCGACAAGAATACTAGCGGAGAAAGAAAGGCAATTGAATGATTTTCTGCGACTACCAGGTTGAAAAAGCTTGGGTATAAAAAGGAGCTGTGACTAATCGGCCGTCAAGAAGGAAGGAGGGGGAGGGGTAGAGGTTTAGATTTCTAAAGAGCAGCAAGCAGGTGGGGTGCCTGATATTGGTAGGGAAAAGAGAGGCTGAGAGCTCTTTTCTGAGCACATGTCGACAACACGTTTATCAGAACAGAAAAATAAAAATAAAAAAGGGCAAATAAAAAAGGGCAAATAAAAACAAATCACAAATGCGTCGCAGGGGCCCCGCCTGAATGCACACTCGTCCTTCCCCACCTCGACGTACACCGTATACAGGTTGCTGGTGACGTGGATTACAGTCTGTCATGGTATCAACCCGGTCCGGTCGCTCGACATCACTCAGTCATTTGTGGCTGTGGAAGCCTAGCAGATACACCGGGGTCCCCGCGGTCAACACAGAGAGCTTGGCCTGGCTCACATCAACACAGGTGACCATTTCGCTGGCCATGACATCCCAGCGGTCAGGCTTGACGGTCCGAGCCGTCAACGCGAAAAACGACGGCCATCACATCGCTCATTAGATCGGCCTAGCCGGGAACAATCCTTGCCTCCTTGGGCAGCGAAGTGCAGAGTAAGCATCAGAGATCACATCCTCTGGCACGCGGTCCTTGTAGCATTCTTTATTTTCCCCTAGCCATGCATAATACCACAAGCAGATGCAGCAGGCAGTAATGTTTCCTTTTTCTTCTCTTTTCTTTTTGTTGTTGCATCATCATCGAGAAAATGGATCATGCATGCTAGTAGACATCACTGCGATATCGCAAGTAAAATCGGTGAACATCAGCTTATAGGCTCTTGGGCGCCTATCGGTTTATTCTGACAGCTGTCATTGGCGCATTGACCCTTCATCACACTTCGACTATCATATGCAGCGGACGGGCGCGTGCTCATCCTGGCTCACTTGTTCTGCCAAGAGAACTGACTCCTGCTGATCCAATAAGGGGTACTTTTCATTAGTCTTGTTTCCTTTTTCTTACTCGTTCTCATATTGTACGGTACGGTACGATTTACCATTCCAGGGCTGCGAGATTGCTCAAAGTGGTTGTACGATCAGCGCGGCAATATCGGGTCAAAGTAAATCTATACCGTACAACGATTATACATCAAGAGACAATCCATTCTGAAACGTTCAAGGTGGCGGTGTGGTGTATTGCTGTATCCAATCGTCTATGCACTTGAGTCGCATCCCGCGTATGACGCGACGTTTTTGTGGCTGGACGAAAAAGAAAAAGGCTCAAGTTGAAGACACGGCCTGTTGCAAGGTTGAAACTATCACCTGATAGGCCGGCTGGTGAATCGATGAATATCTGATGGTAAAGAAGCAGCAACGGGGAGTGCTACCAAGGCTAAAACGAGTCAAGAAACCTCAACCAGCATCTTCTTCCAATGACTTTAAGACGCGCACAGAGGTCGTACAGCTTTTCTTGTTTATGCACGGCCTAGTAGATACATGGACGTACTTGCCGGGTAGCGAATGGCCGGTCGAGTCCTCGGCTGCCGAAGAAAAAGCAATACATGGCATGGGCGTGCCCATGTCATTATTGTTTTCTGGATCTGCACGGATTATTCACAAGCCGTGGAGAAGGTATAAAGGCAAAAATGAATAATAAAAATCCCGGGCAGTGGCTTTGTCCCTCAAGACAAATTGCGAAGCAAGGATTCATACCCTTACCCTTCGATCCCCTCTTTAGCATGAAGGCTAGAAACTAGGACAGGTACACGGCTGCCCCTCTTTCTTTAACTTGCTTAGCGGCTGAGGAACCTCCGACTGCAAGACAAGTCCAAACTGCAGGAAAGGTCCGTCCACTCGCATCCAGGCTCAGCCGAAGAGGGGTTTGAAGTTGGCATCAGCGTCATAGCGGATTTAAATTATTCGGAGAGGTGACTGAAGTCGATACATCGCAACGAAACGGGCAAGGAACTTGGTCAACTTACTAGTATAGTTCCTCTTTGGGAACCAATAGGCAATGCGGCGCAGTTCAGTGCTAACATATTAGCAATTATCACTCCTCGTATTCGGTTTATTCCAGTTGTCTCTGTAGTTGGTTTACACCTCATCTCCTCATCATGAACTAGTCGTATTATAGGACCCAGGGATGTTGGTGAAGACATTTGAGAGCGGGTAGTGGGAATGAAAAGCAGAGAGTACCTTAGTAAGAAGGGTTGTGGTGGCCAGGGTGAGGAATAGGAGCCAATGAACGTGATAATCTCAATTTGCCCCGCAATGAACAACAACACTAACAACAGCGTCATCACTGACACTCGATTCTCTGCCAGCAACGTTACTGATATACACCTATTGCAGCCTGCCGATCCATAGGTTGACTACCACAATGATACAAGCACAGAGAATGGATCCTTGATGTTCAGTGGAAACAGCAACTATCTCTCACACTTTCATAAGAACAGCATCCTGGCGTCGCCTGCATGTCAGGACTTAGCCTGACGTAATATGATTACACAGAGTCCCATGCGTATGTCCATCACTCAGTCGTGACAAGAAGGAATGGTGCTATGACTGTAATCCTTGTCTGCGACCTCTGCCAAAAGGGGATATCGCAGTGACTCGGCTTATCATGCTAATGTATCCGGCAGCGCCGATGCTTGGTGAGGGTTGACAGAACACATACTGGATTTGGCTTCTCAGAATGGCTAATGAAAAAGCCAAATGTGAAGCATCTGCATATTTTTGCATATACATGGCCCTAAGTGGTATGTATGTATTGAAAATCCTCCCAACAGTGACCGCAAATAAAGTGTCATGTCAGACAAACTTCTAATGCATGACAGTCTCTTTTCGATACTAGGTTCGTGTCAGATTTCTGAGAGCTTCTCAGCCTTGATGTCACCCAGTATTGATCGGGATTCTTTTCGCCTGCCGTACTCGACCTCTGGTCATTAGTTTCTCTTGGTATAGAACATAGCACGCCCAATATAGCAAGGAAAGACGTTCTCATGACATGGAAATACCTGACACGAGGAACAGCTACCCCGAGGATAGATATTGTAGATGAATGGCAAAACTCGGGGAGATTGCAAGCCGTTTCTTTCTCGGGTGAAAACTCCGATCCAGCAAACAAAGGGTGGCTAATGAGAACGGAGAGACAGACCAGGGAAATACGGAAGGGGTAAAAATAAAAGGTAGGCGGAGGGGAAACAATACGAATGATTGGCAAGCAATATCGCCCAGTCACCGCAAAGACTTTTGGGAGCAGAAGGAGGGAGGAACCTATTTTATTTTTTCATGTTTGCTATTCTGAATTCGCCCATTCATGTTTTACCCATCATGAGCGTTCATCTATGAGAAGAGTGCTGGCTTCGCCAGCCGCTAGAAGATCGAAACTCTCTTCGCTGGTTGCTGTCGTTGGGCTCATCCCCTCTGACGAACCATCATACTTTTTCTCTTGCGTCAACAAGGGTTCAACATGATTCCCTGAATCCCCCCGTTGCTGCTTATCTCCGATCCACTCCAAGCCGTCGCCAGCCCCGCGGAAATTTGCCCTCCGGCGGGACTTCTCGCGTTCTAGGAGCGAGAGAATCCTCGGCTCGGTGGACATTGTTCCATCATTCTCGCCACCTAGTAAGGCAAGGTTGCGACGATGCCATTCGCCAAGGAACATGCCATCAGGGTCAACCTCTTGACGCACTTTTAACCATTCATCCATGTCTTTCCCGTACAACTCCTGCAGCTCATGGCGTCCTGTGACTTTGAAGTTCTTGGCCCAGTGTGGTTTCGCACCCATTTCACGCATTAGCCACTCGAACGCCTCGTAGTACCTGTCCTTACAAGGGGGGTCCCGGAGATAGGGTCGATAAAGAGTCGCATTGAGATACAATGTTGGGCCGTAGTGATGACTAGGGTCAAGGAATGGGCGAGGATTCTTGTTATGTGTTGAATCCGCAACCCTGACCTCAATGGGGCAATGCACCCACAACCCTTCAACGGAGAACGGAATACGTGCGGTCTCGGTGTCTCCATTTAACCAAGCCGACAGTCGTATGATAGCCTCTGGGCCTTTCTCCAGGGGTAGCGCCCACTCATTGACGAACTGCGAGTAAAGACAGTTCATCAAGAGACCAGCACGAGCGGGTTCCACTGCTTCCGTAACTTTTGCCTCCGATCTAAACCCATATTGCAGACCAAAGACGAACCATTCAACCCATGGAAGAATACGGGGGAAATAATTGGCAAGCGCCAATAAGTTATGATAAATATGATATCCGATTGTCTCTCCATAGAACGTCGCCGGTGGTGCGCGAAGGGGTAAATCAGTTTTGTCCGCATGCCAAACAATAGCAGACTTCTCATATGGCATCCACCAGACGCGAATGAACTCGTGAGAGGTCCACAGGCCGGCTGACCACTCAGCTAAGACACTTGATAGTGAACGTCGAGTCTGTCGCCACGCAACCTTGAAGGATACCTCCGCCTTGAAAGTGACCTCAACGATAATACCCAACGCTCCAAGAGAAATAAGAGCAGCACGGAAAAGCGATGGATTATTGGTTGCGCTGCAGCGCACCAATTGCCCATTAGCCAGCACCAACTTGAGTGATGTGATGCATTCAGAAATCAGTCCATGCCTCAGGGAACTTCCATGTGTGCCTGTCGAGATCACGCCCGCGATGGACTGCTCGTCAATGCTCCCCAAATTAGACAAAGTCAAACCGTGTCTTTCCAGACGTTTCCCCAAGTCCTTTAGCCGAATGCCCGCCTCAACCGTTACATCACCAGTCTCAGACGAGACATCCAGCACACGGTTAAACTTATCTAGGTTAACCAGCCACGACGATGTACACGTCAAGTCGGAAGGCGAATGTCCACTACCAACGGTAACCAAGCGACGACGACACCGACGGGCTAGAGTCACTAGTTTCTGAACCTCCTCAATTGATTGCGGCTGTATATACAGCTCCGGCCGCGAGAAGAACGTCCTAGCCCATGTATGATGACAATGTTCGGTTGATGCGCGGAAAGGCACTGCGGGGTCAAGCCGGGAGAGCTCGCGATGAATCGCGGGGTCTAGTGTCTCCATGTTGGAATGTAAAATATGACGTAACTGTTCGTATATATCAGTCAAGACATATTGTGGTCAAGGTAAGCCGAAGGGAAGGGCCGAATGTCTTCCGCAGGTATCAGAGGCGCCTCTCGCAGAAACTGCGATAAAGAAAAAAATAAAAATAAAAACAAACTAAGCGATGATGGAACGGTGACGGTCTATGACGAATCGGAGTGGGCCGGCTGGAGTCGGGCCGGGAGATTTCGACACTGGCCGTATTGGAATCCGACTGCAAGACAGGAGAGTTACCTTGGAGTACCTGATAGCGATAGGCCCCATCTCCTGCACAAGCAAGTGTGGCATGCAGCAACCTTAACTACTAGTATATATAACTTGTGCATAGTTCTAGAGTCACGGCCGTACCATGTTTTTATTCTATGCTTAGCTATGAAATACTCAAGACTCCCAGCCAAAAGTTGTTGAATTGGATTGTTGTAATGTCACATTAAATAACTACTAGTAGTGAGCCCAATGATCTCCAATTTCATCTATAAGCGAAAATAGTAAAACAAGTTGGATAGTCACTAGAACAAATCATACGTTTCTACCCAAGTCTAGATGGCGATCATTACGTAGCCAGAGCCATAAAATATCATACATCAGAAGAGAAAACCGGATATGCAGAATAAATCACCAATATGTACCTGATGTGGCTCCCAAACTCCACCGACAACGTACAGACAATTGCCCGAATTCACCCCGACCCAGGCTCCTTGGATTATGCTCCCCATGCCCACCCTTCCGTTCTATCCATTGGCCGGTTGACGTCTCTGTACAGACACCAGTATATGCACAATCCAGATGCAATATCTATAGACAAGAAATGAGAAATTTGAAAAGAAAACAAGAAATAAACCGAGAATAAAACAAAGATTATTAGGAGCGAATAGCTCGATGGCTGCGTTCAAAGGAAAGACCTGTGGGGGCACTCGCAAGGTAGGCTGCTCCCACTTGCGGAATGCTGTACAGCAGCTACCTGGAACACCGCCAAGGGACACAAAACTCTTAGGAATGAATGGCCGGTCTTGGAGCGAAGCAGCTAGAATGCCATATTCGTGTGCGAATACCACGGCCGAGACGAATTCTGCGGGTCGGTTGGACGCATGTTCGCCGACAATCCTAGACAGGATAGTTAGCCAAAGGAGTTCAGCCTGAACGTATTCTGTTGACAGACACTTACACATAGATCTCGAAGAAGGTATCTAAGACATAAATACCATTAGCCTTGATGTCTTTCTGGCAGAAAGGCTCGATCTCTTGAACAGTGTCGTTCGGTCGAATCACTGGAGACGCGGAACCTGGCCGGCGAAGCCAGAACCCTGCTGGTCGCTGCTGACCAAGCTCATGGTCAATACGAAGTAGTCTCGGGCGATAACATGCATGGTTAGGCTTTAACCGCCAATAATCTGGGCGCATGTAATCTCCAGACTCCTCATACTGTGGGAAACATTCAAAAAAGCTCTCTGGCTCTTCTCCTTCAGCAACCTCTTCGAACTCGCCAGTCAAGCCAAGGTCCATGCCAATCAACCGAGCGGCTCCGACCTCTTCAGCTGCACTGCCCTTGCCCTTCCACAAATATACCTTGCCAAACATGGCAGAAATTACGAACGGATAGCCGGGGCACAAGCTCTGGCGGGAGAAATTCACTTCGTCAAAGACCATTTGGCCTAGGTGCTTTCTGCCGCAAAGCATGAAAAAGGCAGAGGAACTAGAACGAGAACTGAGACCTCTACGGGTTATGAGAATTCCGCCGAGGGCTTGGATAAAACGCGCGGTTTCTTTTCCCTGTTTAATGACTTCCAATTTGCAGCCATTTTCCTTAGCCACCTTCTTTGAAAAAGACTGCGCATCGTCTATTGCTGCATCGGGAACATCATCACCACACCAAAGATGAGCTTCTGACCGTGCGCCACCGTCAGCTTCGAATAGATGCACGCAGAGATACATGCTGCCTTCGTAGAGGATGTACTCTTGATTGACTGGGAGATCTTGTTTCTTGCCATCACCTGTTATCTCCCACATCTGCATCCTCAGGGTCCTGATCTTCTGGTTCTCATTCTTGCTCGTCAGCATTAACTGGGCATCAATATTCACGGAATCCCTTGAATTGGGGAATGTCCTGAAGAAGCCAGAAATGGCTTCAAGAGACTCATCGGCCTGGGGCACCAACGATGCCGAAGATCTTCGTGAAGAAACTTGGTCCACAGAGGGGCTGGACTTAGGAGGAACAGGAGGGGATGGTAAAGACTTGTCCCTGGGTGAAGACGGTGACATACCCGGGGCTGTCCTTCGATAAGCAGTCGGAGAAGGATGTATTTGGTTTTGTTTGAAGCTGGACCTGAGAGGAGACGGAGAGGGGGACGAAAAATGGATTGGCGAGCTCCTGGATTGCCTAAACTCGGGGGTAGGTGTGGATGGGGCTACTTTCGGCGGAGGAATTGGTTTAAATGAATCGCGCCGGTTTTCCACGTCCTCATGCGCTTTCTCGAATTTCTGCGTGAGTTTCTCGAAATCTGTGGCTGGCTTTGAATGGAGTGCACCAAACCTCTGTTTGGAGTCTCTCTCAGCCATGTGAGGAATACTCCTTTTAAACTCGGTTGGCTTGTCCGTCGTTGGTGGAGAAGGCTGAGTCAACCCTGTTTCCAAAGCGGCAGGCGCGGGAATATCGCCATCAGGGAGCGGCCAGCCGCTAGAATTGCCTGCGCAGCTTTGAGTAGATAATAGGCTTGCATCAAGTTCCTTAATATCAGGTGAAGCTGGGTTGCCCCGTGATTCAGTCTCTTTTTCGAGCACAAGGTCTGTAGAGGGGACTTCTGATCTCACGATAGTTGGAGACGGCAGACTATTCAGGGAACCAGACTTCTCACTTTCCAAGGACCCAGTGGGCTCAGGTCCCGCAATCTCCGAGGATGATGGCATCTTCTGGACACCGGTATCTTCCTTGGAAGCAGTATTCATGGTCTCGGACTCCCCGATGTCAGAGGACATTGTTATTCTGGAGGAGATAGTATCTCTTTTCGATATATAATTCTTAGAAATTGTTTCCTCATTATATAGGGGCAGTGTAGGTTCTGGAAATATGATATCTTCTTCTTCCGGTACGGACTCCACGGCAGGTAGCTCGTTTTTTATGCTGGCGGAGAACTGTGGAGTCCCCTGGAAACCAGGCTTTTCCTTCAGTGCAGAGTCCACTGTAGGAAGTTGGTCTTCCATGGTATCGGAGAATTGTAGAGTCTCTTCAAGACTGGGCTCTTCCTTCGGTGCGGGGTCTATAGAGACGTCTACCTCAACATCAAGTGATGGTGAGACTCCTTGGCTAGCAGCCTCTGTTTCGGGCACAAGATCTTTTATGTCAGCTCCTGTTTCCTCAGTTGAAGGTGGCGAAACATCCTGGGTAGCGGGTTCTTCCTCTGGGCTAATTTCCTTCACGGGGACTTTCTTCTCTTCCATCTTAGAATATGGTAAGTTCTCTCGAGGGGTTGACTCCTTTGGTGCGAAATCCAAAGGGTCAGGCTCGTTCAGATCAGGAAAGCCAGGGGCATCACAAGAGTCTGTCACTTCCTTCGATGGGTAATCCACGAAGTCTGAAGCCACAGGTTTTGGGAGACGTCTTTTCGGGCCCCTGACGCGGTTTTTCGTCATATGCGTGAGTGCTACAGCAGGACTCGGGGCTGACGGCACAGTATCATTCACGGGCCACGCGTTGTTCGACCCATTCACTGCCGCGGGAGGACCGCGCGACAAAAGGCCTGCTAAGGCAGGGTTTATTCGGCCTGCGAGTTTACCTTTAGTAGCAAGACCTTCAGCTGAAGCAGGCAGATTTGTGGCCTGCACGACATTCCCCGATGGCAAAGCACGCACCGGTTGGATGGTCTCTTCACTTGACTTCTTCTGCTCTTCAATTACCGCATTCTCCAACTGATCCTCCGATTCACTCGACTCGATTTTACTATTTTGTTCGCTGATAGGATGAACGGGTTCAGAGACTTGCTCCTGGGTATCAGGTACATCGGGATTATGTTCTTTCGCGGCAAGTCGTGGGCTAGGAGAACGGTCGACACGCTCAATCTCTGAAGGAAGTTGGGGTGAAAGTTGTGGTGTCCCGGGCTCCCTAGGAGAAAGGGAGGCAGGCGTATCAGACACGTTGCTTTTGGCACTGCTGGACTTGGTCAGGTTGTGCCGTTTCGCAATGGCTTCAGGAACGACCTTCATAGAGGCATCGTTTTCCCCAGCAGTATTGCGCCGTAACGAGCCACTGCTGGATTTGATTGCCTCTCGCTGTTTTAGAATACTGTCTTTCAGTTCATCAACTTTCTGGTTTTTCTTCGGACCTCCTGTAGCATTTAATGCTGCTTTCCCTCTCAGTATATTGTCCTTGAGCTCGTCAGATGGGACATAATTCGATGATTCTGTTTTCTTCAGCTTTCCAAAAACATTTTTGAACTCTGGCTCCTCCTTGGGTCCTTGATCCTTAACAACTTCTCGCTTTCGGAGATTGGCACGGAAATCTATCACAGGGGACTGGGGCTTCGGTCGGTTTATCAGGGGATCTCTAGTAGGTGAAACCCTAGTAGGCGAGATAGGCGAATCAAAACTCGCGTTCGAGATCGGCGTCAATAATGTTGGGGCACGCTTGCGTCTAGTGGCGATTGGCTCGGTGGTCTGGTCAGTACTCTCTGGTACGGTCTCCGTTGCCTTTGAATGATCTGTAGAGTCTTTCTCCACAGGTGGTATAATATTACCCTCAGTGTCAGGTGCGGTGGTTTCCGCTCGAGTCTCCTTTGCTTTGTTTGTCGTGTCGGGTGTGCCGAACAAATCTGGCATTCCAGAAACACTCGATGTTTTTGAGTGGCTGCCAGGAGCGGCGGTACGCATCAATCCCACAGGAGTAACTTCTTTAAAGGTATTCGACCGTCCCATATCGACACTGCCCCTTGACTGCCGTTCTCTGCTCCACGTTGTTGATTGCGACGGTTGCTTCTTATGCCTCGGTGAATCGGGACGGTTCAGAGCACTCTCCAGCCATGTGGATTTGGTCGGACTCCAACGCTTGGGGTCCATAGTCCTAGATACTACAGGGCTAGTCGGAGGTAGTGAGCTAGCATCATTGTTCTCCACAGCGCTAGCAGATCTTGTATGGAGTGCAAGTTGTGGCCTTCCGGGGCTCCCATCAGGTCGTGTAGTGCCATTGCCACTAGAAACTGGTGGAGTAGCTGGGCGTTCACTCTCCTTGACAATCGTTGCCTCGCTGTGGCTAGAGCTTGGTCTGTGGCTAGAACCTGGACGATGCGTTGTTAAAGTCGAGCTGTCGGGGGCAAGTCGAGGTGAAGACAAAAGGTCATTTTTACTCGGCGCAGCGAAGCTATTTCTATTCCCTGCTAATGAGTGGCCGCGGGTCAATCCAGATGGAAGTTGAGCACTCCAACGTTTTGAAACACTATCAGATCGTTTCATCATGGCGCTTTGCACAAACCCTCCAAGCCCCTTAGTCGGCGAAGTTGAGCGTTCCGGAGAGAGACGTCTGGGCGATAGGGGCGTCGTCGTTTGGTCCTCTGAGTCTGCCTCGGTCTTTCGGGGCTCGAGCTTTTGTGCACTTGACAGAGGTATGGGAGATCCTAGTCCTGTAGCTGTTGAGACGGAAGAAACACTTGAATATCGATGGCCGAGACTACTTTCTGCGAAAGTGGAGCTTGCCCTTGATGGGGAACGTGATCGTATTTCTCCAACTTCGGGTTGAGTGGGTTCCTTTTCCACCTCATGCGTAGTTTCTGGTTCTAGTTCCGATGCTGTAAAGCCTTTACCCTGCGCAGAGAGCTCTTGGAATTCTTCTTCGGCAGTCGTTGCCCGCATGGAGGAGCTAACACTTTTTTCTGCTTGGTCCAATGACGGAGCCTCCTTTATGGGAGGAGAGCGCAATGTTGGGCTACCAGACAATCCTCGGTCGTCGGTCGAGGTACTCGACATGGCTCTCAAGCGGTTTTCCCGAACGGGAGAAGTAGAGAAGAAGGGTCTATTGAGTTCTCGCGATGACGGCCGTTGCTGCCAGGACAACGTCCCCGCTCGGCTTCGTAGCGAAACCGAAGGGGCCTTGGGTGATGATTCTAACTCGTTTATATCAACTCTAGACCCTCTTCGACTACCATTGGTAGTTATGGATTCGTCGTCCCGAATGGCTTCCGATTTGCTGCTGGTATCACGGTCTGGAGTTCGGGGGGTCGGTTCAAGATGTTCAGGAGGATCGATGGCTCGTAGGCTAAACGATGAGGTGCTCAGTCGAGCATTATCTAGTATAGATGGAGAGTCTTTCGTCGGCGATATCGACCGTGCCCGCTCTACATTGGTTTCGCAAAGAGGACAAAATCAGCTTCTGACTCTGGATATCTTGGAAAGGCCCAGTCTTCTGTGAGTCATGGCTCACGTATGGTTTGGGGGGGGAATAACAAGGGAATCCAGATATACCAGCTCTTCGAGCCTGCCTTTCCTTCCGGCCTTGCAAAATCTCCTCCTCTAGTTTCCTGGTACGTTCTTCGTCTTCCTTGTCGCGCTTCTCTCCGAGCTCCCGGATACGAAGCAGGAAGTCATTGACATCCTCCGAACCCTCGGCGTCGGCTGAGGAAGACATAGTCCCCTTGGCAGATGATATGTCACAAGTCGGAATAGGAGAGGACAAGGAAAGGAAAGGAAAAAACAAAGAACGCCTCCCAAAGAAACAAGCGGCAGACGAGAACTGTGGGGTTTGGCGAGAGGCGCACCAACGGAGGGGTGTGGATGTTGGTAAGGAGAAGAAGGTCAATAATTATTGGGCGTATAATTAACCAACCAGTCAGATGGGCTGATAATAATTTAATAAATGTATCCAGAAGGAAAAATAAGAGTAGCCCGGAGTTCAGTTCCACGGCACGACAGAAGACTAAAGTGCGATTGATATTAATCAAACCTCGCTTCTTTTGTCGTCCTCACCCTTTTCCCTCTCTGTCTGGCAATTTTGTTCTGAGCCTCACTGAAGCGGTGATGAAGACATCAGGAGGAGGGCTGGTTTCCTCGGCTTTGTTTACCCTTCAAGCTGCCCGACGGCAATAATTGTCAGCGATGGGTACCAGCTGAGGGAAGTAGTTAGTTGGGTCAGGTAGTAGATTAGTGGTAAGGTAATGACCATTTTGAACACCTAATCAGCGGCCAGCGTTCAGCAGAAATCATCGGAAAGGCAACAACAAGCCCAAAAGACGGACGCACATCACACGGCAGCCCCACTAGGACAAGTACATCCTTGCTGAAAAGAGGCGCCCGACCGCAAGGCATTCCATTCCATTCGTTGGTCACACTAATATTTTCTTTTCTTAGGCACAGAAGACTCTGTCAAGTCCTGTCCAAACACACGCAGAGCGTAAATCTGCAGTAAGGGTTAATTTTAATCGCTGTAGCATTTTTTTGATAGATAGGATTAATTCGACTACAAATACGTATAAGTAAACACAACCACGAATCTTGAAGTTGTTCTACAGGAATTAGACAATGTTTTGTTGTTCCTCAACCCGGTAGATTGTTTACGTTCCCTTACCAAACCCAACCAAAACGAAAAAAAACCCTTGCCGGCCGTCGGCTCTGATGACGGTGGAGCCAATTTAATCTCATGGGATTTCCTGCCCCGCGATCGGAAACAAAACGAACAAGATGGATAAATTATGGTTACCAACTAAGTCAATTAGGTTTTATTATGGTCGAAATATATACCTACATAGCTCTTGATTCTCCATTGGGTGGTTTCGCATTAGACTATTGTCAATGAAACTTCCGAGGTCACGACTCGGCAGAGATCCATGGATGAGTTTGAGAGAATCTTCTCGACCCAAGAGTAGAAAAGATGACAGCGAACAACACATTAGAGACACCCCACCTGATGACGAGATTCGTTGTCCTGGATACTCACCGTTTTGGTGGAAACAAGCCCCTATCGATGAACCTTACGACACACTGACTCTAAGATCAGGTCTGACCATCAGAACATATCTGAAACAAACCCATTGCATTATGTTTGAATATAAAATGCAAAAAGCAAAAGACAAATGAGATGAATTGAAAGAAATGAACAGAAAGTAACAGGCTGAACAGGAAGAGAAGTAGAATAAGAAAACTAGCAAATAGCAGTAGACAACTTATCCGGTCACAATATACCATAGCTTCAGTTACTACTTAGTCATCTACAATAGTTCAAGCCAGAAGCATTGTAGTATACCAGTTATGCTGCTAAGCTCTCATAATTAAACATTCATCTTATCTCTTTAGACTGTGCAAGTGGATGAAATAGGGAAGAGACAGCGCGCAGGTCAACAAGTGTATGTCCATTATTATTCGGCAATAACCTTATCAAGGATCATTTTCAATAAAGAAATAGTCTATCCTTTGCATCCTGCACGACCCATTCTAGGCCATCATGGAGATTTTTCCCCGTCATAGCACTGCAGGGTAATATCGTCCATTTATGGGTCTTGATCGAATCAAGTTCAAGCCGCTGAAGAGAGTGTTAGAATCATTTCACGAGGTATGATAAGGAGTAAAGGAGTCGCTGGGAGTTAAAATTGAAGAAAACGAAAGAGAAGAAGAAAAATAAAAATAAACTGACATCATGGACTTCATCCTCTGTCATGCAGCCTTCAACGTCAGTTTTATTTAAGAATATCAAAAGACTTGCCCCCGTCAGTCGCTGAACAGTAAGTTAGTCAAACAAACCGACAAAACTAAAATTTGAAAGCGGGGACTGGAACAGTTTGCAGCGTACCTCTTCGAGAAGAAGGCCGGCAAGTTCATCCCGGCAATCATCGATTCTCAAACGATCTGTTGCATCAACAACCCAGACCAAAGTGTCAGTCTTCTCAAAATAATTTTTCCAGTATGAGCGTAATGTCTTCTGCCCTCCTACATCCCCTAGTCCTCACGTAAGTGGATTAGATCCGTGGTAAGGTGATGGCGGTACTTACAAATGTTGAGTTTGTATCTGCACAGAAGCTATTAGCAATTTACTAGACTCGCGTTTGGAGTATGAGGCCAAATACCCTTGAAAATCAATAGTTTTGATGATAAACCCCAGCGTTGGGCTAACCGTGGTGACATCCTCGTTCATAATCCGCTTGACAATCGTGGTCTTTCCGGCATTATCAAGGCCGCTGTGGTTGGGGCTGAGTATGTTGACCAACAAACATTACTTGTTTAACATACAGCATCAATATTCTCATTTCCTTGTCTTTTAGCCGGGCTTTTCTCAGTATAGACAGCATTATGGCGTTGGCGGGGTCATTGTCTTAGGGGTAAATAGAGGTGCAGGTGGTTGGGTTCAAAGTCATAATTGGGGTTTCCGCTTCGAGATGGTGGAGATTAAACCACTCAAGACCAGAGAGGAAGAACGGTAGAACCCTAACAAGACAATTCAGGTCTTCATAGACTCCCTGACTTGGGCTTTTAGAAATGTATCTTACTTGCATTTTTAGTATTTTGTAATTAGTTTCCTAGAGTAATGTTCATACTCCAATTAGAAGTATGATCGACGGCACCTAGTAGGAGACTGGACTATGGGGGAATTTCCTTCTGAGGTGTTTCCTTCACATGAGGCTCTTCTACCAAGTACAGTATTAAGGTCATTTCTGACTGAACACCTGACGTTGAGTGAATTCCTTTGGTCTCACCCCTTGCCACAATCAATTGCTATTGATCCATTCCAACAAAGCTTCTACTGTACTACTACTATTACTAGTAGTAGTAGTAGTAGTATTCATCATTTCCGGTCCACCAATCATATAGTCATATTACTATGGCCAACCATTGCTGCAGATAGAGCTTACATACATTTATGACAAAGGTAACAAGCAATTGTTCTTAGAGGTGCATTACTCTACTGAAGCTAAATTTCAAAGGAAAAAAAATATACAATTATAATAGTACTGACTTCCATCTCACAGTCTTGTTGACCATAATCGATAATCTAGCAAACAAATCATGGACAGGAAGTGTAATCAGACCAGATATCCTACCTCCAGAAACGAAACATCCACAAAGAATCCAGATCCCCAACAGTCCCAACATTCGGAGAGCCACAAATCTACTTTACGTACCAAAGTCACTGGTGCACCTGAAGACACCTGTCAATCTAAGAAAGCGTCCACCCCAACAAAAGCTCCAGATCATTTGCTACCTACTTCCAAACATATTTCTTACAAGCGACAACACAAGAATACTTGGTCTCATTCATCATCTACAAAGTTGAAAGATTTCACTACAGCCTCAGATGTGAATCGGAGTGATCCAACTCATAAACACCATACCCCACAAGAGAATACAGATAACCAGAGTATGACACCGAAGTCTAGTATTAAAGACTGTCCGAAGAATTGGAGACCTTCACCTATTCCTTATATTGCACCTCATATGAGGGAGAGGCGATCGCTACTACATAGAGAGCTTTCAAAAGCACACATCAAGTCGTCTCATGATAATACTGAACATTTGCGACCTTCTGCCAATCACCCTTCCCTAGAATCTGCTCAGCCCATATCCAAGTCAACAAGATCTACAGTGCATCAGAAGGCCAACAGCATACCACCCAAAACCTCGCGCCCCCCAAACGGAATATTAAGTGCGAATGCAGTTGGTAAGATATCCTCGATCCATAGTCAGTAATGGTTTGTAGGCTAATGCTCACTCAGACAGGAAAGTAGCTGGCGTCAAAATGACTACCAGCGAGGAGTCTGATGTAGTCATTCTTCGTTGTGGAAACAAGACGAGCAGTACTAATGCCCAAATCACTCCAGTACCCCAAACGGAAAATATTCACGAGACTCTCCAGTGCATTCTGAGCTCCTCGCAGAGCAGCTACACAGGTGGTAAGGTAACGAGCAACGTTCAACAGAATATTAGACAGAAAGTCACCCCAGCGAGTCGGAAAAATCTCCCCATTGGCAACGAGCCTGTCCAAGAGGCGAGTCCAACTAGCTCAAAAGAAGAAGCGTTGGAGGAGCTTAACCGCCTTCGGGCACAGATAGTCCGACAGGCACATCTGGACCGTTTTAAGGACCTTAACTACCCTACAGCCAATCCTGAGATTCTCGAAAGATGCAGGTCTGGTCCTGGAACCGACCCAAACTCGGAGTTTTACCTATCGATTAAGAAGTGCCGTGTTGCTCCAATACAATCGGCAAGTGTCCCCGGTATAACGGGCTTAACGTCTGGTAGTACTCATGAAACTCTTAAACCCAGCGTATCTAAGACTTATAAATTAGCTGCCCAGTGGGAATACTATGAATGCAGCCCTACTGTCTATCCTATTGTTAAGGATAGAGAGCTGAACCTGTCATCTGAGCCAACTGATGAACACAAACGTATATTAACACAGCTTGCACAAACTGCTGGGCTCCAGGGTGGCACTGGAGGCGAGAATACAGAGTCTGAGCAGGAGCTGAAGCATAGCTGGACAGATATTTATTATGCTAATTGGGAGTATTATCCACATGCCTGCTCTTCCAGCTACGAGGCCTTTCGCGATTGGTTCCGTCGTTGGCTCGACGGCACCATTCATATTTGCTGCTATGCCGATATCTACCACCATGCTTTTTTTGATGGGACGGCGCATCCAGATGGCATACGGACCATGTATATTCCAGACTTAGAGGAACAAACGACTCTCCTAGACATGGACGACAAAGAGTCGCAGCTCCATTGCCATGAAACCGTCCAGGGTTATTGCCACAACTGGGAGCTTCACAATAAAGAGGAGCGTGATGAAGAGCAACTTCGAAGGAAAATTACACGCGAGCATTATCTTGAAGGCTTAAGAAATTTTCCGCAGCCCAGCGTCAGTGTGCTTAAAGAGAACGTCTATCTGCGTCCTGTTGAAATGGGTGATGTCCCAGGACTCCTTGAAATTTTCAACTGGTATGCACACAATTCTCCTTTGAGTACTTATGTCGAGCCACTTGAAGCTGGTGATATTCGCCAGTGTATTGATGACTGTACCGAGGAAAAACTGCCTTTTATTGTTGCCGCGGAGCGCAAAATCAGGGCAACGGCGGATAATAGTCCTCAAAAGATTCTGGGCTATGCACTGGCGACTGACTACATAGGACGCAGAACCAGTGGTCGTTTTACAGCGGAGCTGGAGCTTTTTGTTAAGCCTGGACACACGCACAAGGGTGTTGGAAAGTGTCTAATGGATAAGCTTCTTGAAGTGTGCGACCCTACCTACATTCCGAAGCGTGGGTATTTCTTCGATTGCAATACTGAAGACCGTACCGGCTACTGGGCAGGAGGTCAACGCAGGCTTGGCCGCCTTCTTTTTGCCATCAGCTACCCATCTGACAAAAGACCTACCTACAGCTGGGTTGAAGAATGGCTCAAAAGGCAGTACGACTTTGAAGAACAGGGTCGACTCAAGGGTGCAAGAGTCAAATTTAGCCATTTGTAAGGCACCCCTCACGGATCAAGCAAACATTGCCGTAAAGCAGATCCACTGATTACCATTAGTCTCAATGTCACTTACCTTGTTCGAAATATCGGCCACCATACGGGCGATAGGTTCGATACCTAAATTGAACCGGAGTGTCTGTCCACATCGATCGGGGGAATGCTAGTTTAGCTGATTCAACCAAAAAAATAATAAAAAATAAATAGAAAAAATAACTGTTATCATTATATTCAGCAGAATGCTACTGATATCGCTGGACTTAGCAGATCCATATGGTTTTCTTCTAAATTGGTCGTAATATGGGTTACATGGCCTTTATGTCTTTTCGTTATCTTTTCCATATCGTGTTGTTCTTTAAGGCACTTCGATGGCAAAAACCCTGCATAGTCAAACACCTCAAGACATTACGAAAAAACAAAAAAAGAAGAGGAAGAAGGGGGGAAACGGGGAATAGAGTGTGCTTTTACTCATGAACATGAAAAACAGCAGAAACTAGTAGATCCATGGCAGGTACTTGACATTAGTCCCATTACAGAATAGTTCAAGTAGAGGATAAGAACAACCGTAGACCAATCAATCTATCCCCAAAACAGTCCGCAGTCTTTTTTGCCGTAGCGTATTCTTTCACCGCCTCCGCGGGTTTGAACTTTTTTTTCTTTTCCACGAAAGGACAAGAACTAGTGGGTGCAGCTTAAGGGTCTGGGAGGACATTAGGTAGCCCTTTATCTTACTTATTTGTGTTCATCCTATTTTTATTGAAAAGCGACTACCTAATCTACTTGCTTGCCAGGTTTTATACCTTATAAACCCGAAAAAAAAATGGCACCGTCAAAAAAGCGCAGTGCTCCCAAGGACGAAGACTTCGTGCTTACACTCTCCGATGATGAAAACGATGCATTTAACGACATCAATGAGGACGGAGATGACCATGCAGACAAAGAAACGGCGAATTCAACCACCAAGAAGCGCAAGAGGGACACGGCGGAGACAACACAAAGCCAGAGCAAGAAACAGAAGCAACAGAAGCTATTGAAAAACGGGAAAAAAGAGAAGACAGGTGAAGAGACTGTATCTGAATCGGAGGAAGAGCCAGAGGAGGAAGACGATGCTGGGGAGGATGATGGGGCACTGAATTCGGATTTCGAGTTTGACGTCGGCGCTGCAGCTCAGAAGGACGTGGTTGAAGGTTTCGATGGATGGGGATTAGATGATACGAAAGACGGTGCAAATAAGAACGGCGATAAACAGGGAGTGGACATTGATGAGATCATATCGAGGAGACAAGCGAAGAAAGAGGCCCAGTCGAAAAAGAAGCAGAAGAAGCAGGAGGTTGAGAGCGAAGATGAGGGGAGTGAAAATGAGGGTGATGCCTCGGATGGAGGGATGTCAGTGGATTTCCAGGACGATGAATTGATGGCTGAAGATGCGTTTGGAATGGGTGCTGACGGCGAGGATGAGAGCGGGCAGTCTGATGCACAAGAGTCGGCCAGTGAAGATGAGCATGTAGGCAGCGATGATGATGATGATGATGATGATGCCGCCTCTGACAACGACTCTGTCGCAACCCCTGTCCAACATCCCGATGATGTTGCTTCAGACAACGATGGCTCAGATGCCGAGAGTGAGGTTGATGCAGAAGAAGAAGCAAAGCGCAAGGCCTTTTTCGCACCTGAGGAGCAGACTAGCGAACAATCTGCAGCTGAGCTGTCTAAAAGGTCATTCCAGGAATTCAACCTGTCCCGACCCATTCTGCGTGGATTGGCTGCGGTCAACTTCACAAACCCGACCCCAATTCAGCGCAAGACAATCCCCGTGGCACTTCTCGGCAAGGATATTGTTGGTAGTGCGGTGACCGGTTCAGGAAAGACGGCTGCTTTCGTTGTTCCCATTCTCGAGCGTCTTCTGTTCCGCCCCCGAAAGGTCCCTACTAGCCGTGTTGCGATCCTGATGCCCACTCGTGAACTGGCTGTACAGTGCTACAATGTGGCTACCAAACTGGCTACGTATACTGATATCACGTTCTGTCAACTTGTTGGTGGTTTCAGTCTCCGTGAACAAGAGAATATCCTGAAGAAGCGCCCTGATGTTATCATTGCCACTCCTGGTCGTTTCATTGACCACATGCGTAACTCAGCGAGCTTCACTGTTGATACACTCGAGATTTTGGTCTTGGATGAAGCCGATCGGATGCTGGAGGATGGTTTTGCAGATGAGCTGAACGAAATTTTGACTACCATTCCGAAGTCACGGCAGACGATGCTCTTTTCAGCAACCATGACCGATTCAGTCGACAAGCTTATTCGAGTGGGGCTTAACCGGCCTGTACGACTAATGGTTGACTCTAAGAAGAACACCTCCATGAACCTGGTTCAAGAATTTGTGCGTTTACGACCTGGAAGGGAGGATAAGCGACTGGGATATCTTCTTCACCTATGCAAGGAGGTTTACACGGGACGGGTTATTGTGTTCTTCCGGCAGAAAAAAGAAGCACATCGTGTGCGGATTGTCTTTGGGCTCATTGGATTGAAAGCTGCTGAGCTTCATGGTAGCATGAGTCAAGAACAGGTATGTCATGCCTAGCGCAAATTGGCCTCACTATGCAGAAGTCTAACATGAGTTACAGCGTATAAGAAGCGTTGAGAATTTCCGTGAGGGCAAGGTATCTTTCCTACTAGCTACCGATTTGGCAGCTCGTGGTTTGGATATAAAAGGGGTGGAAACGGTCATTAATTACGAAGCTCCTCAAAGCCATGAAATCTACCTGCATCGAGTCGGTCGTACTGCTCGTGCCGGTCGCTCTGGTCGAGCCTGCACGATCGCTGCCGAGCCAGATCGCAAGGTGGTTAAGGCAGCTGTCAAGGCTAGCAAGGCGCAGGGAGCCAAGGTCGCAAGCCGAGTTGTCGACCCAGCCGTTGCCGACAGATGGGCTAAGAAGGCCAAGGATCTTGAGGAAGAAATTGACGCAGTGCTCGAAGAGGAGAAAATAGAAAAGCAGCTGGCGCAAGCGGAAATGCAGGTGACCAAGAGTGAGAATATGATTAAGCACGAAGCGGAGATTATGTCGCGACCAAAGCGTACATGGTTTGCAAGCGAACGTGAAAAGATTCTCTCTAAGAAGGCCGGGGCCGCAGAGCTTAATGGATTGGATTCTGTGAAGTCGAAGAAGGACAAGCAGAAACTGAGCAATAAGGACAAGAAGCGTCTCGATGACGCCCGCCAGCGTAACGAAGGAAATATTGGATGGAAGAAGGGCAAAGTGGACCGAGAATCTCAGAAGCAAGGGAAGATTCAGAAGAGCAAGAAAGATAATAAAAAGAAGGGCAAGAAATGAGGAAGAAGGAGAGTCGGATGTTGATGATTACCACCCTACGTCTGCATCAGGACTCTGACATGTTCTCTTGCCTGTATATATATGTATGCATTCATGTACCTCATACCTCTAGATATCTTTTAAAAATTACTAGGATTATTCTCATTTGTTACCTCGGGCTAAAGAAAAATCATAGCCTAGCTTAACCTAATGCCCGTTATCTTGGACCTCGCCATGGGGCATACCGCTGGATCACTGTCGTCATGTCACACTGGGGATCGACAAACTCCCCGGAAACTGTCGGCTTGCCGCGGACGAAAGTGGCCTGTTTTGATGGCCTGAGGCAGTCAAGACCTCCGGTCATCGGCCGGCTGGGGACGATGAAACATGTTGGACTCAAATAGTTTGATGTTGAACTCCATCTGGAATGCAGATTGCACAAATAGGATGAAGGAACGGTCAATATTATTGCTAATAACGACTCGATGATTGACCGGGTCCAAAGCGAGGCCCAGTTTGTTCCATGTGGTCCAGGGTACCTCTCTCGTACGTTGTTAGACCACTAGAGCTTGACTTTTGTCACCAACAAGGCGTAGCGGTTCAAAGGCTTGAAGACGAAAAGGTGCAGTGTTAGTCACCCCGTCCCCGTTGCCCCATTTGTGGTCTGGTATCAAATCATACGTCGCTTTTGCCATCCGCTGTCGGCGAGAGAAAAATTGAAGCGGAGAGTCACTGCAATTGATTGGGTTGACTCATTGTGCATCTTAAATACCCTCAATTGCTTCGTTTGCTTTCGCTCAAACTTTTCCAGCTCATATTTTCATTTTCTTCTTGACTGTTGACCTCTCCCCGTTCTGAGAGATTCTATTCCTCGACCTTTTTTGTCTCTCCCTCTCTCTTTTCTCTCCATTCCCCCACTGCGGATCTCACCCGCTAACCGCTACCATGCCGATGTAAGTCCACTGCCCCTCCCCCTCCATAGCTCCGTTATCGTGGAGCTTCCCGTCCGCAGCACTCAACGTCGCACCCTGCCGCCTATTCTTTCAACTCAATGCACTTACAGTAAAATGATAGGCTCAAAGATCCCTCGAAAAAGTACAAACGCTTTAAGCCGCTGCATCTCCCCGATCGCCAATGGCCCAACAAAGCCATCGAAAAGGCTCCCCGGTGGCTGGCTACTGATCTAAGAGATGGCAACCAGAGCTTGCCTGATCCAATGGTATGACAGCTTGTGGGAGCGCAATTGCGACTGATTTATTGCACGAGACTAGTTATTCTAACACATTGGGTTTTCACAGGACGGTGAACAAAAATTCCGCTTCTTTAAAATGCTCGTCGATATTGGCTACAAGGAGATTGAAGTTTCATTCCCATCTGCCTCGCAAACAGACTTCGATTTCACTCGGCGCCTGGTGGAGACCCCTGGCGTCGTTCCAGATGATGTATGGCTCCAGGTCCTGTCCCCTTGCCGTGAAGACCTCATCCGCCGCACGGTGGACTCTCTGAAGGGTGCAAAGAAGGCTATCCTACACATCTACCTAGCCACGAGCCCATGCTTCCGTCGAATTGTCTTCAACATGGACAAACAGAAGAGTTTGGAAATGGCTGTCCGCTGCGCGAAGTTCGCACGTTCGATCACAAAGGACGACCCCTCGACCGCCGGTACCGAATGGCACTTCGAGTTCTCTCCCGAAACCTTCTCTGACACGGAGCCCGAGTTCGCTGCGCAGGTTTGCGAGGCAGTCAAGGAGGCTTGGGGTCCTACAGAGGAGGCTCCCATTATCTTTAACCTGCCGGCAACAGTAGAAATGTCGACTCCCAACGTTTTTGCGGACCAGATTGAGTACTTCTGCCGTCATGTGTCGGAGCGAGAGAAGTATGTCGTCTCCATTCACCCGCATAATGACCGTGGCTGTGCCATTGCGGCTGCTGAGCTGGCTCAGATGGCCGGCGCGCAGCGTGTGGAGGGCACTCTGTTCGGAAACGGTGAAAGAACGGGTAACGTTGACCTGGTCACTCTGGCTCTCAACCTCTACACACAGGGTATCACCCCCAATGTTGACTTCTCCGATATCAACGCTGTCATCAAGGTCGTTGAAGAAAGCAATAAGATTCCTGTCAACGAACGGTGGCCCTACGGCGGTCAACTGGTCGTTTGCGCTTTCAGTGGCAGTCACCAGGATGCTATTAAGAAAGGCTTCAAGCTTCGGGATGATGCTACGGCAGCGTCAGATGAGGAAGTCCAATGGGAAATTCCTTATCTCCCCTTGGATCCTCAAGATATCGGCAGAACTTACGAGGCTGTTATTCGTGTCAACTCCCAGAGTGGCAAGGGTGGTGCTGCTTGGGTTATTTTGCGCAGCTTGGAGCTGGATCTCCCGCGCGCCTTGCAGGTCGAGTTCAGCAAGGTCGTTCAAAAGAAGTCGGAAGAGGTCAGTCGGGAGCTGAGGGCAAGCGAAATCGTCGGTCTTTTCGAGGAGGCATACCACCTCAAGTCCAACCCCCGCTTCAACCTTGTCGACTACAACATCACCACGGACCGCTCAACGTCCCCGGCACCCCCCGAGCCTGGCAAGGCTCTGAACACTAAGAACCTCAAGCGGCGCTTCACTGGTGTCATCGAGATTGATGGGGTTCAGCACGCTATTACTGGCGTTGGTCCTGGTGCTATCTCCTCCTTGGCTGGTGCCTTGTCGACACTCGGCATTGATCTTGACGTTGTCGACTACAAGGAACACTCCATTGGTTTGGGTAGGGAGGTGAAGGCCGCAACGTACATCCAGTGCACTGCAGCTGGTAGCAAGGAGCAGGTCTGGGGTGTGGGTATCCACCAGGACGTTGTCCAGGCCAGTTTGATCGCTTTGCTCAGTGCCGCTAGCTCGGTAAGCCCCCTAACTTCTTTAGGCTGCAATCATCATTATATATATCTCGTACTAACTTCTGTTGTGCAGTTTCTGACTAGCCGTGCCGGCTCTCCTGCTCCCTTCCGCCCTATGCGCTCCAACACCCTCACTGACGAGGATCTGCAAGCCCTAGAAACCCTCACTGGCTCCAGTGATCTTGCTACCAACCTGGCAAAGGCTGCTAACGGCAGTGCCAAGCCACAGGTAGATATTGATGGCCTGACGAGACAAGCTGAAAGCCAATAAATCTTGAGCTTTCTTTCTTCTACCCTTTTCGATATTTTCTCTCTATCTTTTCCTAATTCATGGCTGGGGGTGGATGTTCAGGTTTTTTTTCAGACTACAGTAGCAGAAAAGCAAGGTCTTGGAAAGCATTTTTGTATGTACAGAATGACATGGTACGAAAGATAATATAATTGAGATGTCAAACATTTCTCACTCGGTTGTCAAGTAGAAACTCGCTGGCAAAAAAGAAACAATCCAAACATGCTGTCGGGTCTACTGAGTATATATATTCAGATAGACACCTGAGAGTGCACTCATAGTCTGCGTATATACTCTACAAAACGAGTACAGCCCGTAGCCCTGTACCGTTTATGGACTATAATCTTATATCTCAAACAGACACGAGACATAACACAAAACACAACAAAAAATAACATACTTGGGGATATCTTTGGAGACGGGGGATCGCCCTGGTGGATCCAGGAATTCCACTTTACCACTTACGGTTAAAGCGGACCTTATTTCAGAAAAAAATGTTTGTAATGGTTTTTTCTAAAAGTCCTTCATAATTATAGATATGTGAGTTCATAACATGCACTTGGGGATGTGGTTTAGTGGTATAATGTTCGCTTAGCATGTGAAAGGTCCGGGGTTCAATTCCCCGCATCTCCATCTTTTTTTTTTTTTTTTTTTTTCTTTTTTTTACTTTTTTCTCTTTAATATCTGCTGTTGTCCTAGGAAGACGGCCGGTGTGCAGTCATCATCACTGTGTTCCTGAATGTTGTTGATTTTTTACACCTGGAGAGCTCTCTTTTCGTTACATCCAGGCTTGGTAAGGTTAGATGACATGCGAAAGTAACAACACACCGAGCCCAACATCCACAGTCCTATCCATGTACGAGATCTCAGCGCCCATGCTCTAGCCTTTGGGTCACTTGCTGTCTTCAGCAGAAACGTTGCTTGGTCTCGCCTTCTGAGGGGTATACTTTGGTGGCTCTTCTCTCGGACACAGGCGTATGCATAGAAATGGCTGGTTTTATTGCTTCGTCAACCGGTTAGCGCTTTCATGTCACTCGTGGATGAGGCATGTGAGGCATACGACTACTTGCTGTACTTACTACCACCAAAGGAAAATCCTCAACTACTGGGAACAGGGCATCCCATATACCGACAAAGTCCCAGAGTCTTCCACTTCAAAAGAACGTGCACATCCAAACCATCCTTTCATACTATCTGAGTAGGGTATGATATAGTCGATCCATCCACGCTGCGCACCCTCTAGCGTGCCAACAATGATCACATCCCCGAAAAGCACTACCAGATCGCGTTTCCTTACGGGGCAGTATTACTCACATGGTTACACATTGTATATCGCTCAGGTGATAGATCAGTTCAAGAATCCTGGGGATATTGAGAGGCTTCCAATACTACGAGAGCGGAGATACAGGAGGCTTCCCGGGGAAGAGTCATATCGCAGCTGATAATAGGTGGCTCACTGATGATAATGGTGTGCTGAGGTCTTCATATTCGGATGGAGTATGGAAACGAGGAAAGGGAGGGGGGGGTTTATAGTCGCTGGAGCAGTCGGTGTCATGTGGCACCATGTTTGTGACAGCATGGCCAAATCAAGGAAGAGCAGTGGGTGTCCCGGTTCAATCAATGATCAACAAACCATTTTGATCTTATTGCGACATACATGTGTTCCTGGATCGAGCATCACTTAAGGTGGTTGCACGGTTACCTCTGACTAACTTTAGAATGATTGGGATAGAGTGGGGATGGTCTAGTTGGAGGAGGGGATTCTTGAACACTCGTATGGTGGGTGTATCGTCCTTCAAGAAGCTGCCGTTCGGAATGCACGGCTCTGTTTCATTCACAAGCAAGATCCCCTTCTTAAGAGTCCGAAGACAGGCAGATGAAAGGTATCTCTGAGGCATGTGTGGGTCTCTTTAATTGACATCTTCATCACATGGGGAGATTCCCCCGGCGGCGGAATTTTGCTATCGACAGGGCAATACGGTGTCCAACAATAGCCTTTAGAGAGAAAGATCATCCGGTCTGGCATTAGGAAAGGGTCTACAGAACAAGCCTCAGCTTGGCATTTCTCTGTTATTTGTGGCGCTCATTCCATCGCTGGTGAGATAGCTGAGATCAATTAAACGAACCTCGGCACGATAACTTTTACACTACCTTATGCAGGGCAAGCGGGGTAAAAAAGTCCTCTCATCGTACAATCCATAAGACACACCCAAGAGATTGATTTCCAGAATAATACATTAAAATCTAATTTCTAAACTCAATTGACTTTCACTTTCCCTCCCTTACTGTAAACTATATCTAAGAGTCGCCGACAAACATGCCCTACTCGTTAAAGGGAAGAAACGTGCTGGTGACAGCCGGCTCCAGGTGAGAGGGCTCTTTATCCTTCACCGGGACCTCCCTTTGGCTAATCATAGCCACAATGGCTTCTAGAGGCCTAGGCGCCCTGGTATGCGAGAAGTTTGCAGCTGAAGGTGCCAATGTGCTTATCAACTACCACTCCAATGCGGAGGCTGCGCAGCAACTGGCCGACAAACTTGAGAAGGAGTACTCGGTGAAGTGCCACATCGCTCAAGCAGTATGAATATCTTCCACAGAGATTTATTCGATTGTATGACGCTACGTGTTCCTATACTGAATTTATTATTTCAACTAAGGACACGCTCGTGGCCGCCGAGAACGACCAGCTTATTCACACAACAGTGGAAAAGCTAGGTGGCTTAGATATCATTATTGCGAATGCTGGATGGACGCGCTTTACTCGCCCCGGAGACATTTATGACATGTCCCACGATGAATGGAACAAGGTAACTCTCCCATGGTGCAAGAGGATTCCTCGTGAATCAGTACTTATCCGCACCTCTAGTGCTGGGCAGCCAACGTAATGTCCCACCTGCAGCTTATGCAAACCGCGCAGCCTATCATGTCGAAAAACCCCGATGGCGGCGTCTACATCGCAACTTCTTCCATTGCCGTATGCTCAGAACCCACTTCAACTGACCTTCGTGGCTCTATGACTGAACCTTGCAGGGAATCACAACGGGCGGAAGCAGCATGGCATACTCAGTCACCAAAGCAGCAGGCCTGCACCTGATGAAGCATTTTGCCTTTACATTTGGGCCCGAGATCCGCGTCAATGCAGTCTTGCCGGGTCTACTTCTGACGGAATGGGTACGTCCACCGATCGGCACTGTCAAATATCCTTAGTACGGGTGATACTGAGTAAAGGTCCAGGGCATGAAGTTCGGTGACAACATAATCGATGCGCTGAAGGAGCGATCAACTTTGAGACACGAGGTATGAGCTTGAATCTGCTGCAGGCCGAAACCGAGATATCGCTAATATAAGAAAACCAAACTAGACGTACTTGGACGACTGTGCGGATGCGTACATCAGTCTCGCGAAGAATACGTCCGCGACGGGTCAGCAGCTCACTATTGGTATGTTGCATAGTCCCATGTACATGTTTCGAGATACTAATTGCCTTTTTCGATAGATGCGGGTTTGGCTCTTGGACATCTCCCATCGGCTAAAGTTTGAAGTTTGTGCGGTAGACTTTATCTTTATTTCGGATCAGTTACATATCAATACTATGCCCTGGGTTGAGATGCATTGTTCTGGTCTCGGCTTGTTCTGTTATGTGGACAACACCAAAGCAAGGCCCAAAGAAATGTGAGCCATAGTAATAGTACTATTAATTATAGTCTATCTTAAACAACCAGAAACACTACTCCCTGGAGCGTCCTTCAAATAAATCTTGTTTCCCATACTGCCAAAGATCAGCTAAATCGAAATCCAACGACCACGGTATGAAAGGAACAGAGCCCGGTAACGACTCAGCAAAGGACCCCATGCTATAGTTCTCATTATAAGGATACTGCTCGGATGGCATCTCATCCGTTGGAAGATCATCGAGATCGTCATACAAGGATTCCCATGCGTTATCTCTAGAAGCTAATTCGTGCGGTAACTCCGTTTCGGTTAAACTGGTAGGTTCCGTAAGATTCAAGCTCGCATTATGCCTTGCGGTGGTCGGCTAGAGTCCAATTAGCATGTTTTATTTCATGCAGTACAAACAAAGCAGGCGGATACGTACGTATGTATCAGCTGTGGAGATAGGTCCCTTGTTGCGCGGCTGGACACAGTTATTTGCCGCAGGGCGATGGGGGAGATGCATGACCGCCTCATCGGAATCTCGACGTGGCCGTTTCGACACGTTTTTCAATTCCACATGCACCTTTTCCACATATTCCACTGCCATTGACCTCATCTTGCTAAATATTTCATAGACAAAATTGGGCAGAAACGTCCCACTGGCTTGAAGACTGGGGAACAGGGAATCGAGGATGACTCCCAGAAGCTGAACGTCTTCAGTGATATATGAATCGCCAGGATTCTGAATAACATTGGCGAAAAGAATAATGAACGCTGAGAGTGAATGATACAGCGTGAGACTAGGACCGGTCAGACATGTTGATTTATAGTACACATCTTGGCGGGGGAGACTCTTACCCAACTAGCATGGTCCTCTTGGGAAAGCTATACTGGTTAATTGCAATCAAAAGACGCGCGACATTTCGAGCTGAATCCAAACATATCATATGCCCGGTATAGACACGATCTCCGATGTCGCCACAACCTTGGCGAGCCATATCATGGCGCAATTCATCATATTCCGTCAGCTGATCTTGGAAGGCCCAGCAACGATGTAGGGTTGCTAGACAGTTAAAGTATTCGAGATGTAACGTGATTGCCTGACGTACGTTTTCCTTGGAGCAAACAAGCGGCTTTCCTGGTTGGACGTCTGCTGGTAGAGATCGACGCCACTCTTGAAGTTTCGTATCAAGCTCAGATATAGTTCGAAATCTTTTCAAAGCTGGGTATCTCCTTGAGCGAGCGCTATATAGTTCCGAATAAATCTCACTAGCAATCCTGCTAAGGTTTATGTGTGCCAAGAGCCAGACAGAAGTCCTGGGGTTTGTAACGGCCAACTGCCGCTCGTCCGGAACATCGATTTCTATATCTCTATCATCAATGGCCGGTGGCCTTCCTAGCCTAAGGCTCAGGCTTTTGTCAAGAGAGTACATGCACCAGAAGATAATATATCGCTCAGAGGCCTCCGGCGGTGAAAGGCGAGGGCCCTTCAACTGTTGCTGCAAGCCAAGTGAAGTCGCAACCCGTACTGCAGCTCCTAAAGCAATGTATGTGGCTTCTTTGTCAAGAAGAATTTCTGTGGTAAGAGCCTGGGAATACATTGATTAGTCCTAAGCAGAAGTCTAGATCAACAGAAGGGGGCCATACCATTCCTAACAACGCCTGGACCGCCATAAGATCCCTGCAGCTGAGAGATAACTCACCGAAAACATTCCAGCAATTCCGTAAGTAGTCTACTGCAATAGTGGGAGCTAGCATCGAGCTTTCAGCACTCGCACTCATATTCTCCTCATGCGATAACAGGCAGCCAAGCGCGAGTACTACATTGAGCGAGGCATACCAAGATGTGCTCTTTGGGGGACAAGAAGTATACTGCTGTTCGTACAGAGCCTCAAAATTATCCCTTCGATACAAAGGTATAACATCATTAAGGGTGTCAAAAAAATCTGAAAGTTTATCAGACAAAGTGTACTGACACGCGTGGAAATAATCTTACATGCGACAAACGAATCAGCAAGATGCTTAGGCGGAAGTGACACTTGTCCTCGATAGTCTAGACCCTGCCATATGCGGAATGATTCATGAAAAGGAGGGCATGCTTGTATTCGCCTCAGGATGAGATCCGATAGGTCCGAGGAATTGGTCCTACTGGATATCCACTGTAATCCAGCAGGAGAGAAAAGAGAGAGACTCGAAGCTGAGCCTGAAGCGTGTAGGTCGTCAGTACAGTTTCTATATATTATATGAAGATCCATATTTACCAATAAAAGTAGAGGAACCCTCATCATGAAGTAGTAGCATTGAAAGTTGATCATCCAGATCAGTTGATGTACCAGTAGTGGCAGGAGTTACAGCCTCACTTGCGAGGCCTGACGCGGCCAAGATCGACTCCATGCGCTCAATCCGGCTTTCCATATCGAGAATCTTCCCTCGCCTAGATCATGGGAAATCGGAGACGAGATTCAAATTTAGATGTCTTTACACACTATTTCAGACCGTGCTTACTTACCTGTCTGGTTTTGACGTCTTTCGGGGATGGAAAGTTGTGACACAGTCATCGCCTCGTTGTAGACACCGAGCACAGCTCTGCCCTTCCCTCTGGCATCTCACCTATTGAAGAGCAGGTCAATCATCGGATACCCGCGGAATGCCTAAGTATCATTACCTTTGCAGCTCTACACTTATCACACGATGTCCGTAACGCGTGGCCGAAAGGCGGATGCGGATCCATATTGGACCAGATTAGTAGGTATATTTTTTGTCGCTAGATAGAAAATATCGGAGTGGTTGGTGAAGTAGGAGATAGAAACCCGCGATCGCTCACCTCGCTTATTATGCAAAAAGTAAAATAAGACTAGTTCTCGGTTTAAGAATCGGAGTGGGTCTACCTTAATCTCTAGACCCTGTAACCTTGATTTCTCAGGATCCGAATCGCTTCCAAAGTAGTACGTAGTGTTATCCATTGCAGTCGATTTCTTGGTTAAGGTAGGTATCAATGGTGGAGAGACTACCTAGCCTAGCCCGTGACCGTTTTAAGACTCTTAGTGGCGCCATTAACCTCACGTGGCGAACTTAAGACCGTAATTAAACCAGGCTGCATATAAAAAGCTCTATACTATGTATAAATTGGACTTTTCTCTTCTTCTGTGACTAAGCGGCTATAGACTGAGTCCGGTGCCGGTACCTACTTCGCATCAAAGTTAGTTATATAAATTGCTGTTGTTTCAATTCCTTTGTATTGTGTACTCTCCTTTTTGAAAGCACCCACTTTACACAGTTCTGTAAAAGTCTAATGAATATCACGCATCTTGTTAGAACCACCCAACTTACGTTATATAATACGATCTTCAGGCATCGAAGGTGGGAACGCAAAGCCCTATGAATCTTGGCAATTGAATTACCTCGGCCCCGTGTCATCCTTATGATTAAGGATCCACCACGGGGTTAATGCTGACTACTTACTACTAGTAGTATGCCTTCTTCCGAGTCACTTCGAGAACTATCCACCGCGGTAAATGTGTTCGAGCAGCTGGTGCTAGTTGACAAACAATCCTGTCATTGCCAGTCGATAGCTAAAGGCATCTAGCATATTCATTCATGGGGTATGTATGTACAGAACGTCGAATGTCGTTCATAGTGCGGATAAAATAAACAAATCATTTGCTCGAAGACAATAGCGAGAGGATAAATGCGCACAGGGGAATGGGCTAAAGAGACAATGGGTTTTGTGAAGTCATAAGAACGATGAGATGTTTAGGGGACATAGATAGCACGAAAAGAAGAACAAGAAGAAGAATGGCTCCAAGTACTCTATGACAGAAACGGGATACAAGACAGCCAACACTAGATCAAAGCATCTGCATCTAATGATCCCATCTATATGTCATGACCACTGTTGCACGGTAAACTGATGAAGTTCACGTGCCTTCAGATCCCATAGTTATTTCCGTCATATCGCCTTGTCATGTCATTGTTACTGCTGGGTGTGCTATGAACCCCACCCTGACCATATGTATCATCAACTCCCAGCGTTGACTGGTACATAAGAGCTTCTTGTGGCCAGTCGCCAGCACCGACGTCCGGCGCGCCAGGCTGCCTATCGTAGAAACCAGACTGGCTAGTTGAGAAACCACCAGGAACACCAGCATACTGTTGTTTATGGGCAAGAGAGTCGCCCCTGGGGGGATTACGGTAAGGCAAATTTTCCATTGCGGGAGGACTTGCTTCTACTGGTGTTGTGGCCGTTGAGTTAGCAAAATCACCGAAGTCGAATCCAAAGTCAGGGTTTCCAATTGTTGCAGGGCCTTCAGTTTTTGCCGGAAGACCCCCAGCAGTTGAAGATGTTGTCGGTCGTGTCGGTTCCGCAATGTGTGGAACTGAGGGGATTGTTTCGGGAATGGCGATTGGGCTATCAGTCGCCGGTCCCTCTCTTTCTTGCGTAGCATGGTAGGAACCATGTGCTTCGGGCTGCTCCATAAGCACTGGAGCTGGTGAGCGGGGTACAGCCGAGTCACTATCTGGAATCACGGTAGATCGTCGAGTGCTGTTGCCCATCATGCTCCCGGGTTTTGAGCTTCGGCTGACGCGATGCTGAGGGGCTTCCGAGAAAGGATTTTCTGGCCCCTCCATATCGCGGATACTGAATTGGGCGATCGATCTTAGTTTCCGTGTGACCCAAGACGCTAAGACCTTGCCTCTTTGTTTTTCGCCTAGTCGGGACCGAGGGAAGTCTCCATGAGAAACAAATGCCACGATATCGGCAACAACTTGGTGCTCGTTCAGAATAGCGTTAACAATCACAGGCACGAGAGATGCCAAGTAAGCCTTCCTTGTAACTTCAACAACAACAACTATCAATCCACCTGCCTGGAAGACAGCGCTATAACAATTATATTAGTAAATGCATGCCGTACTGGAATACTATGATTGTTCACTTACCAGCCTCCAGTAACAATGTTGCGGTGACATCTCTCAACGGAGTTTTCAATATCCATTGGGAAATGATTGAGACCATTGACCTCAAAGGTCTCACCGATCCCTCCAAGGACAAATAGTACTTGCATTTCGACGGGCTGTCCTCCAGGGCCAATAGGTCTCGTGACAGTGTGAAGGAAGCCTAGATCGCCAGTACGTACGTAGGCCACACTAGGGTCACCGTCTACAATCCGCCCGTTAAAACGCTCGTGGTCGAAATCTTGTTTAGAACCGTAGAATGCCTTGGCGCAAGCATCCGACTGTATCCAGATCTCGCCGTATTCACCCACATGTGACAAAGTACAGGTCTCCGGGTTCACAATAGCTATTTGTGTATTCACCGGCACCATTCCAGAGTCTTGAACAGCAAGAGCAGTCGGGTCTGTATCAGGATCTACGGGACACACTAGTCCACGACGCAGAGCCCGAAGGTCAAGCCATAATTCAATCGGTTCGATGCACATATATGATCTCGTAACAACCATCGGGTTGAGGACATGAGAATACACAATGTTGATTGCGGTACGGTCGAGACTTGCAGAAGCAAAATGCAGACGCACCTTCTGGTCTGGAGGCAAGAGCGTGTTAGCATACATCCTTTTAATTGATTGAATCATAAGGGACATACATATATCGATACGTGGTCGGCCTTCAGCAGATATCATCAAGTTCTTCAATTCCTGAAGTTGGAACCCCTTCCCAGCCATTGCAGTCATCGCGTAATCCAACATCTGGCTGGTAGCATACGTATCTTTGATCTTATAGCGTGCGAGAGTGACGAAAAGCGTCATAGGGTTTGTTGCGAAGTCGACAGGTGATACGAGGTATGTCGGTGCCCCTAGAAGCCTTGGTTAACCCGGAAGACATTTATCTTAGGCTTATTGATTCTGCTTACCAACATATATACCCATCAAACAGGTATGGAGGAAGCCAAGACTTAGGGTGCTACGAACACTACCTAGAACTGGTCTTACACTGCTCATCTGGCACGTCTCTTTTTGTACCTTGCACATACCCATGATAGTGTCGTGGCCAATGTGGACCGATATCCTCCTCTGATCTGGCGTCCAATAAGTCCAAACCATGGCCGGTGTACTTCCCTGTAACCATGCATCTTTCACAACATAACCGAGCTCCCGACAGCCGTGAGACTGTTTCGTTGGTTTTGTTGTGTTGTAGATTGCCGGTACACCAATCCGAGGACCTGTGCAGACTGCTTGATATGCTGCGAAACAAGCTTTTGTCTCATCACATGATCAACATCACTGTTTACAATGATGGCTTTCACATTGAAATCATTGATAACATGTAGGAAAGCCGGAGCATCTTCTGAGAGCCGATTTTGGTCAATAGGGGGAAGAGGAATGGCAACCACCCCTAGACAGAAGCAAGCATGAACTGCATAAACGTATTCTTCTGAGTGGGTATACATAAGCACCAAGTGATCGCCTGGGCGAACTTTGACTTTATTTCTCAGATAGGTTGCGACAGCAGCAACTTTCAAGTCGAACTTTTTCCAAGTGATGCCCTTCCCTTCCTTTCCACGGCCATCGATGGAGCAATAAGCTAGCTCCTCTGCCTGACGAGAAACACGCCAATGGAGAAGATCCACGATGGTTGAAAAATTGCTCAATGGCGTCGATGTGCGATCATCCATGACGACTTCACGGTAGTCTACCCCAGAATATTGCTTTTCTTGCATGGCAAGCATTTCTTGTCTTGACATCAGGGCTAGGGGAGACCAGATTCCTCCGACTGGGTCAACTCCAACTGGTAAGTTCATCACCGACCGCTCAACACCGAACTTCACGTGAACACAGGGTAAAGTTCCAGAATCAAAATCTCTACGGCAGAGCATGTTACCGATCTCTTGCCTGCCATTCTTAGTGACACGAGGTAGAGTGTTGGGCGCGGTGAGCAGCACACAGTAGACGCGCAAGTGATGTTTTTGATAGAGGACTTCCATGCACCTTTCTGCTAAAGATTCAAGGAGAACCGAGTCCAACTGCCTTGGAGGCCCACCGGAGGTTGCTGGTGCCGTGGATGCCGCGTATGATTCTAGAACCACGATCGGTAGGTGTTCTTCGTTGACAAAAACATCAAAGGCCGTACAGTCATGTATCTTAGGTACGGTTTTCAGAAGACTGACGATCATATGTTGAACGAAGAAATAACGATGTTCAACGATTTCCTGCCCGTGTTCCACCCATTCAACCTTTTGACGAAGACGGTCTTCATAGAGGCCCAACACAAATATCTTGCCTTCGATCACACATCCCAGTAGACCAGTCCGCAAGAACTCCGGTTCCACCAATACGGGAGTTGGATTTCCCTCTTCGAACTTGTAGGGCCGTGCATGAAAGATTGCTTCTGTATGCTTTGGCAGCGCCCAGAAGCCTCCAGAAAGGGATGGTGAGTCCACCCAAATCTCTCCGATCACATTCGGTGTGCACAGCAAATTTGTCTCAGGATCGACAACAGCCAGTGTAGCATCAGGGATAGGATAACCGAACGAGCCAACGCGCACAGCATGTGGCATAGACCCGGCGTACTTTCTAGCCTCTTCACCCATGGCCAAGACGACAATTTCGTTGCTTTTCAAAGCCTCTTTGTCGAGAAGGACTTCTTGGAGCTCATTCTTTGTTTGCTCCTTCGAGACAGGAGCTGGCGATGAAGCCCCACCCAACAAACTGCTGCCAAACCCGCTGTTATCTTTAGTCTTCTCTGACTGTCTTTCCTCCTTCTTAGAATCCTCGCGTTCATTTGGATCCATTTCATGAGTCAAAGAACAACCCATACGTTCTTCACCGCCTAGCCAGTCCCGCACACTGATTACCATACCTCCATGCTCGGGCAGGCAAAGCATTGGAGCGACAATCTCCCGAGCTCTTGGGTTCCTCATCGGCCTTAGCATCTGTCCGCTAAGATCTCGTGGAACTCGGCATCGACAGTAAGAGTGTCTATAAGACAGAGCTTAACACTTCCAAAGTTGGGCTCGGAATTCTTCTTATAATGCCGTGTGGCCATGGGATCCTGTTGATAATTGTATGCGGCTATTTTGAGACCAGGGTAATCTGCAGCCATGATAGTTGCTCTGTACTTCGTGATGAGGTGTGCATATAGGCCTGGCGTTTCAACCGCCCGGTCCTCTAGCCAGACAGTTGTGTGGCCACCATATACTGTAAGAAGCACGCCTAATATCATACCGATTCCATGCCTGGGGTCAAGATAGCTCATGAGCGTTTCTCCATGCGATCTGACTTTTGAAGAGCCCGGCACAGTCGAGATCATTGCGCTAAGGCAGGCCATCTGATGCATGATCGTCCGGTGACTCATGACAACACCGCGCAAATCCCCTGTAGGTGCTCTTGAAAATTCAATATAAGCTAGGTCGGGCACCACAAGAGGCGGTATATCATCCTTTTTTTTCGGATGATAACTTCCGAATTCGTTCGTTTTCCACCACTCGACACCTCTTGGCCAGTTCAATTTTTGGGCGGTAATATCCCTTTGAAAGCTCTTCAAATTATTTTCCGTAGTCAATGCAAGATGCGCTTGCGTTGAGGTGAGAACAAGGTTAAGGCTTTGATAGTCCTCGAGACTATTGATTGGTACAGCAACAACGCCGGCGATGAAGCATCCCATGAGCGCAACGGCAAACTCTATGACCTCGGAATCTCGGTAGATGAGTGCTACTCGGTCACCGCGATAAAGATTACTCTTATCTCGGATAACCTGTGCGACCTTTTCAGCACGACTTGCAAGCTTCTCCCATGTGATCGACGCAATCTCCTTGCCCTTTTGGTCCAATACCCAGTAAGCAGCCTGTTTTGAATGAATCCGAGAGCGATGCCGAAGCACAGCTGGGATGTTGTCGAAGTTAGACATTGGCATATTCTTGTCATGGGGGTCATGAACTGCAAATGGAATGTCGCGAGGCTCTAGAGGGAGCAAATGCTCAATTGCGGGCCCATGAGGCAGCTCAGAAGCAGGTATCAGCGGCGGTGCCATATTTGCAGTGGGAGAAAATGCGTCCGACTGGGAGTAACGATGAAAGCCGCCCCCGCCATAGCTATCTCTATAATCATCTTGTTGCTGTCCCGCGAAATCAGAGAAGTACCCTTGCTGTGAGTCGAGCATCGTCGACTGCCGCGTGATTCCGCCAGGTGGCATTTCATACACACCGGCTGACTCGTCCAAATGTTCTTGGTAAGGACCAGGGTTGAATGCATAGTTCTGACTCAATAGCGTCGCGGTCCTTGTATCTTCTGGTGTGACAGGCGCTTGTTGCGACTTTGGCAGGAATAGAGAGTCGTATGAGCCAGACGAGGGCATTCGGTCGAGAGCCTGTAGGAACGCGCTGTCTCTATCAACGGTGTGTTGTGTATCTGCACTGATTCTTCGATCATATCCGAAGCTTCCGCTGCCCGGTGTGTTGTCACGTCCGTTGGTGAATGAAGGAAAGCCCTGAGTTGTAGATTCGGCTGTAGGCGGTCGAACGCTAAGTATGGCCTGCGGGGCATTATTTGAGCTTGTCAACGATAAAGAAGGTCCTCCCGAGCTAGGTGTATTGACTTCGAGGCCGCTGTTAGGACCAAAGAATTGTGAAAGGAGAAGCGTCCGGCGTTTCTGATAGCTTCCCAGAAAATCAGTTTCAACAATAGCCAATAGTATATGTCCCATTTATTTAATTTAAACATCATGCATTTGAGCGCATCCGACGCTCTTCCCGGTGGCTCTCATTCACCATGTTTGTCCGACAGAGGTCACTTACCCTTTCTCCGTGATATCTCCTTCCTGATAACCAAAATGTTAGTCTTATACGGTCAAGCAAGCATGACTCCCATATCTTTGGGAGCAGTTGAGAGGTTTCTCTGCTCCATACACACCTCCAATTCTCTGTCGAGGTTCCGCAGAGCGCTATTCAGCTCTGGATTATCGTCCGCCATTTTCGAAGTGTTGAACGTGAACTTGTTGAGGGGCTCTCATGCGAATCCGCGTCTAAAAGGATAAAAGAGTTCTACGATCCTCATCTCAGGATCCTTGAGGCGTCAGTCGTAGAGCGCTAGAGGGAATCTCAGACACCCTGACTTATGTGGCCCCCTACCGATGATATCGTGAGGTGGTTCTATTTCACTCCGGGTTGTCCTCTATTTCTCCGCGCTTGAGGAGCCACAACGTCACCTGCCGCCGTGGCTTAAAGCCCCTCAAAGCTGGTCTCCACAAGTACAGGGGAGCCAATAATAAAACTTTGTTCCTTGCACCGCCACGACACAGAACAGAAAATAAGCATAAGAGCACGAGGATGATCCTTAAAGATTATTCACAACAATAGTTATACTCGCTTACAACCAGTATAACTGAGTGTATTATTTGTGGATGTGTATCCAAGCCCACTATTTCTCCAACTTGATCATCTTTTACTCTTTTTTTCCCTTTCACGTTTACTTACAATCAACTGAATATTACATATTTGGCATAAAGACCACGTTATACAGATACAAACGTACGTCAAAGAATCAAAGGTTTTCCGATTTGTACAACTTCTTTGCTGAGTGAGACTGTACCTAAAAACGGTTAGTATACATCGGAAATGAGACTAACACGCTTTTGATTGTGCTGTACATATGGGTCAAGAGTAATACAGAGTAGTACGAGAATAGATACATCTGTGTTTGATAGGACTACTTTCACATTTGGGAATTGGCAATCTCTATGTAATCCAAATCTGGTTTAGTGTTCTGGGCACTAGTAGCGTTTCTATCACATGACGTGGAAGACATGATTGGTGTTGGGCCAGTGCCCTAACGTGTCCACAGAGCTAAGCGAGCGCACCTCGATTTTCCTGGCAGCCAAAGGAAACATTTCAGCCGACTGACTGCTATCGTCGACGTTGAACGCTCACCCAACGACACCGCCCGTCACCTTTTACGAATCCCTCCCTCGACAACAGGTGCATTCGGCGTCCATAATGTCTGACCACGGGGAAGTCGAGGTCGAAAACACTGCGGCCTTCCAGGTCCTCCCCAAGGAGGCTGTCGCGGAGATGGGAACCGTGAAGCTCTTCAACAAGTGGAGCTACGAGGATGTTGAGATCAGGGACATTTCCTTGACGTAGGTGCTTTCCAATTCTTTGCGATTTTCTATGCTACGATAAGACCGCGTCCGTACAAGCGTTGCCTGGCTCAATTTGGGATGGGAAATGATGCGACAACGAGGGGGGAATAAACAGTGGGAGAGGGATATGGAAAAGGATGCACATACGGAATGGAATTTGCTGACTCGAATCTACGCACATAGCGACTACATCCAGATTCGTAACCCCGTCTACCTTCCTCACTCCGCCGGTCGTTATGCCGCCAAGCGTTTCCGCAAGGCCCAGTGCCCCATCATTGAGCGTCTGACCAACTCGCTCATGATGAACGGCCGCAACAACGGCAAGAAGCTCATGGCTGTGCGCATCGTTGCTCACTCTTTCGAGATCGTACGTGCATCTTTTATGGTGGACTAGCCGATACCCCAGACACCAGAAACTAACAACTTCCGCAGATCCACATCATGACCGACCAGAACCCCCTCCAGGTCGCCGTTGATGCCATTGTCAACTGTGGTCCCCGTGAAGACAGCACCCGTATCGGTTCCGCTGGTACCGTCCGTCGTCAGGCCGTTGATGTTTCTCCCCTCCGCCGTGTCAACCAGTCCATTGCCCTCTTGACCATCGGTGCCCGTGAGGCCTCTTTCCGTAACATCAAGAGCATTGCTGAGTGCCTCGCTGAAGAGCTTATCAACGCTGCCAAGGGAAGCTCGAACTCCTATGCCATCAAGAAGAAGGACGAGCTTGAGCGTGTTGCCAAGAGCAACCGGTAAAGGGATAATGTTGGGCGTATTCTCCGTTTGGTCCTGTTTCTATTTGTACTGGAGTGAACGGGGGGTTCTATAGGATTCAGTCGATTAGCATGCATCTGCGCGACTGTACATACCTCAAAACAGTCACTGGAGGAGCAAAATCCAAAACGAGAATGGGACGGCTTTCTTCTATAGTAGCTGAGATGCGATCATGAAGACCTTGGGCTTTTAAGTCGGTACCTTTTATTTTTGTTCAACGAAAAAAAAGATCTTTTCAAATTTCCATAGGTTGCTCCGTCTTGATGACGACCAACGTAATTTGCCTTAGCTGCAAGTCATAGGTCTCGGCTCAGCTTCACCTAACGCGTAGGTCTAAGGAACAAGAGTGTCTTTTAACCTAGAAGTCTTAGACCATTATTTAATTTGCTCTACAAGAGATAGGCGGATCGTAGATGTCTTGCGCAGAGCGACTTTGCTCCGGACGTTTGTCGCTTATCGATAGGCTGGCCCGATCCCGTGGAGAGAAAAAAAGTTCGGATCTGTTATCAAACGTGAGCACTTACCACCTCCCACCCCCAAATTTCTCTCCTCGATTCTTCCACAACGTACTTTCAAGCGACTGGTGAAATTATCTTATCAGAATGGTAAAAAGGAAGTTGGGAGCCTTGGAAAAGGTCGAGGCCGACCTGTGAGTACTGAACTATCATCTCCGTCCGAGAGTTGAAGATTTCTCTTTGCCACTAACTCATTCTTCAGGCCCAATTTACAACATAAAATTCGAAGAGACCCAAAGTAAGTCAATCGCGGGACTCAGGAATGGCTATACCTATCAATAGTTTGCTAAAAATGCATCATGTTACAGATCTTACATTGAAGATTTTCGCGCTCAACATTATCAGTATGAGAGTCACCGAGAAATTTTCATGGCAGCACCGACGTCGGCCACCGATACGGGCATTATCTCCTTGCGCGAACTGATCGACTTTGTCGCTCATGTTGCCGACTGCTACCCAGACATTACCAAGGACTTTCCTCAGCAGCTCATGGACATCTTAACTCAGCATCACTTAGTCTTGGAGCCGGAACTTCGAGAGAAGATCGTGGGGAGTTTAGTACTGCTCAGAAAAAAAGAGCTTCTTGACTCTGCAACGTATGTTAATACCACTCACAGACTGAGTTTATTCCATTGCTGAATATTATGGCTGCAGATTACTCCAGACCTTGTTCCCTATTCTCATTACGACACCCAGCAAAACGTTACGAGCATTGATCTTCCAAAAGATTCTAATGGATCTTCGTACTTCGAACGCCAAGACAACTAACCACAAGCTCAACCGCACCATGGAGACTGTCCTTTATAACTTGGTGACATCAGATCGTGTCTCATCCAAGGGTCTATGGGCCATCAAGCTCATTCGTGAATTATGGAAGCGGCAAATTTGGTCCGATGCGAAAACTGTTGAAGTCATGAAGGAAGCTAGTTTGTCAGAAAACGAGAAGGTCATTATCGGTGGTGTTCGCTTTTTCCTGGGTGGAGATCAGGAGCGCGAGGAAATGGAGGATGAGAGCAGTGACGAAGAGGCTATAGACCTAGGTAAGGTAAAACATCAGGTCGGTATCAACAAGAAAACCAGGAAGAAGTCTCGCGCTGTAGAGAAGGCGAAAGCAACTGTCAAGAGAAAGGAGCGCAAGAAGAACCAACCACACCCATTGAATTTCTCTGCTCTACATCTTCTACACGATCCCCAAGGCTTCGCGGAAGTTTTGTTTTCCAAGCATCTGCAAAATTCCAAGTCCAAGCTCAATCTAGAGCAAAAGCTTCAGGTTCTGCAACTTGTCACTCGCCTTGTTGGATTGCACAAGCTGCATATAATGCAGCTCTACTCTTATTTCCAGAAATATCTTACTCCACGGCAACCTTCGGTCACTTCATTCTTGGCATCTTTAGCGCAAGCGTCGCATGATTTAGTTCCTCCAGATGTGCTTGAGCCGCTCATTCAGAAGATTGCGAATGAATTCGTATCTGAAGCATCGGCATCATTGGTTGCTACCGCTGGTCTCAATGCCATCAGAGAGATTTGTGCGCGACAACCACTTGCAATGAATGAGACTTTACTACAAGATCTCGTTATGTATAGAAAGAGTAAGGATAAAGGTGTTGTGATGGCAGCCAGAGGTCTACTCAGCCTCTACAGAGACCTTAATCCGGAAATGCTGAAAAGACGTGACCGCGGCAAAGAGGCATCTATCGGTCTACGCTCAGGAGAAAAGAAGGAGAAGCGATTTGGAGAGGAAGAAACCGGTGGTATCGAGGGCTTGGAGCTCCTCGAGCAGTGGAAGGAGGAAGAGCGCAAGAAGAAGAGGGCTGAAAAGGGCCTTCCCTCTGATGCAGAAGACGGCGAGGAAGAGGAGGATGAAGCAGCCGACTGGGACGCTTGGAATGTGGAAGACGATGAGGACAGCGATGATTCCGGTGGCTGGGTCGATGTCCAGAGCGATGCTGAAATCGATCTTAGCGACTCCGACGACGAAAAGGACGCACGCCCGTCCAAGAAGGCCAAGCAGGATGCCAATAATGAAGAAAATGTCAATTCTGAAACTGCACAGGATAAGACACAGGCTCAAAAGTCAAATACTGCAAACATCGCAACCACCCGTATTCTTACGCCGGCAGACCTGGCGAAACTCCAGGAGTTACGTACTCAAGCAGCTGTTGACGCACTTATCCCAGGCGCCAAGGGTCGCCGTGGTCAGACTAACGCTTCTTGGCACAAGGATGATCCTCTGACGGCTGAAGAGATTGAGGGTTTGGCTGCTCTGTCCGCCGGAAAGGCAACTCGTGAAGAACGAATTGCCCATGCTAAGGAAGGGAAGACTGACCGTGCTGAGCATAAGAGTATCACCGCGAAGAGAAAGGAGCGTAAGGTGGAGCAGGGTAAGAGTACTACGAATAAGGAGAAGGCTCGCAGAAAGAACATCTTCATGACCCTCGGCAAAGCAAGAAACAAAGGCAAGAGGAGTCTTGTGGAAACTCGCAACGTATTGAAGGCCCATCAAGACCGACAGAAGCGTGGCGGCAGGAGAGGAAATAATGGCTAAGGCTCGATATATATATATGTGGAGATAGCCCATGGTTTATATTATAGACTTGGTCGCTGTAATAGAGCGGTATCTTGTTCTTGAATTTACATCTGCGAGACTTTATATTGAGAAAATATGTCCTTGTCTTCTTGTAATAGATCTCATCCACTACCTGTCTGATACCTTTGATTTTTGATTGGGACATTGTTCTATTGTGGCTTTCTTGACCAGTTTGCGAATAAGCAATACGGAATGAAGCTACTAGTAGTACTAGCTAGACTGCATAGTGCAGGACACAGAAGTCGTTCCCTGATTCAAATCCCTAGTCACGTCCCAAAGAAGATATATTGGATATGAGAGCGACACGTGCTTATGCGCGTCACCCGCGTCGCGTTTTCCGCCGCCCAGCCTCCCATTTCCGTCATCCTTTTTTTCTCATTTTCCATTCCAGTTGTCGACTTGTCATAGCCTACATTCTCTTAAAACTTCTTATCACTCTCACACGTCAGCATCTAAGTAGATCAGCCCCTCGGTGAACCCGATAAAAAAGAGAGAGAAAGGTTTTAAAAAAGATAGAACAAAAGGTTTCTATAACCTCTGTCGTCAACAATCTCAAACTACACCAAATATGTCTCCATCATCTCAAAACACGACTAAAGATAATGATCTGTCGTCCAAGCGAAGGCGATTCCAACCACCGATAACCTCCTTCTTCCCCGCAACAACAGGAACAGATTACGCCGATAGCTCCTGTGCCCCTCACTTATCATATACCCACTACTCCACCACCACATCCTCCCCCACCCCCGCCGTTGATGCAAAGATCCAAGCATCGCTACTTTCAGTCGGCATGCGCGTCCGCAAATCAGTCGCAGAAGGATATAAAACCCGAGTTCCCAATTCGAAGGACAAGCCAGCTCTCTATACAAACAAGACCCCGATCGTCGGAGGTCCAACTGCCTATACCGAACTGACACCCTTCTGCGGCCTGATGAAATCAGGCGAATCTGCAACTCAACCCATGTCTCATCCCTCCTCGTTGTCCTATAATCAAATCGATCAACTCATCACGGATGACGGAGATGCTTTTTCTCTCCCATCAAGTAGCCAGGAATCGATTGAGTCGGTTCAGACAACCGCACAGAAGCGATCATACGACTGTGACGAAGACGATCTCAAAGATACGTTCGATGAAATGCCGACTCATGCGGGGAGCAATTGGCCGAACTTCTTGGACCCGGGTACAGGGGTGGACTCCGTGCCTCCCCGTGCTATCCTCACACCAAGTATAAGGCAGCAGCGTCGTCAGTTTGTTGCCATGGAGACACAAGCGATTATTGATGTTGACGATTTTGAAGAACCCACCTTCCTTCGTAGGCGCGAAGAGGTTGATATGGATCTATCATGAATGGAACCAATGTGCCCGTGGTCTAGCTGGGAGGCTGGTCTACATTGTTTGCCATCTTGTCTCTCACTGGACCACCATTATGTGGACATGATTGGTCACTGCGCTATCGGATTGCTACTATGAGCACAGTGTGATTATTGGATTAGCTCTGGTCATTCGCCCCGAATCTCTGAGCTTCAGGTTAAGTTGAGGTCGGCATTCGAATGTTTCCTTGAATTATCTCCTCCTGTCATATGTTGAAACAATATTTGTTACTTTTGATTATCGTCAAGCGATTGTATATACATATACCCGCATTGGTTGGACATGGTTATGCCAACTGTACCTTGTGACTATGAGATTTGATAAAAATAATATTACTTGTATGAATATTAAACAAATAATAACGGCATGACTGTGTTACTTTGACTTCTCTTTTTTGCATTGACAGTATATTCTAACTAGTTTACAGCCCCTGTCTTGGGTAGGGCAGATGATGCTAAGCATAACAATAAGGCGCACCAACGTCATGATCATGGTCATGAAAAGGGTCCAGAATAATCAAGAGATGGCCCTTCATAGATCAAGAAATATGTAGTTCCAAAAGAAGCAGACCTAGAAAAGAAAAGAGAGACAATGTGAACACAGAAAATAACGCTCAAGCCGAACTCCATCATTTAGTCTGCAAATAATATTACAGTTCGTCCTTGACATTGGCCTTTTGTTTCTGTTCGTTCTCTTGCTGTGACTTCTCTTTCTGGGCCTTCTCGGACTTGGCCTTCTTGCCGTTTTTCTTCGACTGGTCCTTTCCGGACTTGGCTGCCGCTGCACCCATCTTTTCATAAATACGGTTCATGATACGCTCAAGCTCCTTGAGACGGATATCAAGCTCAGCCACAGTCAAAACTGCGTCATCGGATTCGGCCAGTTTCTCCTGAAGAGCAAACTGCGTTTCGAACCAAGTGCTGGTGGATTCAAATGTTTGAGCCAAACCGGCAAGGTCAGATGGCTGGAAGATCGAGTACTTTGGACCTGTGGGTTTAGTCGTTGAGGTGGTTGAGGTGGTTTGGGATGCTGTGGACGAGTATGGGTCTTCATCCAGGTCGTCAAGAGGATCAGCGGTTGAAGATGGCTCAATAGATGAAGTAGCTGATGAAGTTTCTGCACTGGTAGAGGATGCAGAGAAAGATGAAGAGTACAGGTCTTCGTCCTGCTTGACTTGCTTCTCCATGAGGTCCAGGACAGTCTTAGTATTCTTCAACACATCCTGTAAAAGTTCAATACGGGCTGGGCGAGCGGCGTTTTCTTGTTTTCTTTTAAGCGCAGGATTAACAATGTCTTTCAGGGCCTTGAGTCTTTCGTGGAATTCTGATGTCTTTGCATTTTCGCCGTCGTCATAAAGCCACTCACTAGCGGCAGCCGCCTTCTCCTGTAGGGCTGCCAACTGATCTGGTTTGATTACCTTGGCGAACTCCTCGTCATCTACAAGGTCACGGCTTCGGTAGATGAACGACTCCAGTTCATTCAAAGCCTCTTCGCGTAGGACACGATCACGGTCTGAGGCGTCAAATGCGGCCAAACGTGCTTTTACACGGCCAAGCTCGGTCTTGGATAGGGCAGGAATTCCTAGAGGAGACGACGTGAGGCGAATGGGAATAGTCTCCATATTGGTCTGAGGTGAAGTCTTCTTGTTTTCTTTAGCAGAGGCGGTAGAAGTAGCGTCGCTGGCTGAAGCTGTCGAGGCTTGGGACTCCTCAGGCTCCAGAGTGATCGACTCGCTAGGCTCTCCATCTTCGTGAAGAGGAGCTTGCTCCTTCTTAGAACCTAGACCGAAGAAGCCTTTGACGTCTTCAACAACACTTCCCGTCTTAGTGTTCTCCACTTCGCAACTCACGGCGCCATTGACAACCTCGGGAAGACCATCAACAGGGCTCAAACGAATAGAGAACTTGGTAGTGATGTTTGCAGGAGAGCAGCCAAAGCTCTCCTTCAGTTTGGTGACAGATGCCGTAAGATTTTGCGTCTGCACACCCAAAACTGGTGACTCAACTACATTGCCCTCCAAGGGAATTTGCTGGTAGAAACTGAACTCAAAATCTTCGAGGTTCTTCACTGTGACTTGCTTCTCAGGGCCAACTTGGGAAGTGGGAGTGAACAGCTTCTGCTGTCTCTCCCGAGATTCAGAAGGCCACTTCAGCAGGACGGGATAACCAGAGACGTCGTGGGCCCGGATATCCTTGACGCGGAAGCTAGGGCTGAGGGCAGCCCCCTTAAAGGCAGCACCGAAAACAGCAGCCTCATCTGCGTTAACGCTGGTTCTGAGTTTGTTGGACGCTCCGCAGACCCGCTCCAGCTCCTTCTGGACAAATGGGGTACGGATAGCCCCACCGTGCAAGATGACAGAATCAATATCGTTCAACTGTAACCCAGCAGCCGCTAGAGCTTGCTCGAGAGGCTGTCCAACCCGGGCAATATGCTGTTCTGCAAGCTGCTCAAACGTAGAGCGGGTGATGCGGTACTTGAAATTGAAGTCTTCCTCATAGAGGTTTTCGAAAGAGGCTCCCGTTTCAGTGTTGGCGCTCAGAACCTGGCGGACTTTCTCAGCGTCCTTCCAAAGCCGCGCCATGGTCTTGCCATGAGAAGCGATATCGGATGGTGCGACACGATCTTTCAATTTCTTGTCCTGGACCAGGTTCGCGATCATGTCCCCGACCACGAGATCATTCAGAGAATCTCCACCGAGGGTCTTGTCCCAGCCTGTTCCTAGAACATGGACCTCCTGAATTGTCTTATTGAACTTTCCAACATCTTTCACCGAGCGACTTTGGAAACGAAGGACGGTGGCGGTTGTGGAACCCGCACCCATATCGTAGACGACATGATATTCGGGCTTCTGTCCGTTGGAAACACTGGGGAACTGACGACTGGTCGCGTAATTCAATCCAACAGCGAGACCTTCACTAATAAATGCGTCAACATTCAGACCCGCTAACTCCGCCGCCAGCTCTAGACTTCTCTTCTCCTCAGCCGTGTAAAAGGAGGGATAGGTGATCACCACATCTCTGATATCTGAGCCTTTTCCGGCAAGATTGTCGGCGTTGACTTTGACCTGCTTCAACTGCATCGCCAAAAGTTCCTCAACAAGGAAGATATCCTTCCTTTCTTCCTCGCCAAGTCTATTGCTTCGAAATCCGACGGTTCCACGCCCAGCAGCGTTTTCTAGCTTCAAGGCGGGATACCTGCTAATGAATGTTTGAACCGCTTCGTTTCCGTCACCGTTGAATGGAACTCCTAGCAGTGTTTTCAAATTTGCGTAGACATCGTCCGGATACCGTGCAGCGAGTGCCAGCGCGTCGCCGCCGTAGAATCTCTCAGGAAACGGCGCACTATCTCTGGTGGGTTTGAATGCAACAGCAGCAGACTCCTTACGTTTCGAGTCTTTTGTTAGGACGATCTCCAATGGAATTCCCGGCTTCACAAGCACCGCTTTGAGGTATTCTGTGCCCACATCGATACCGATCACTGCGGATCCAGCAGCAGCAGCGGGTGCTGGAAAGGCAAGGAAGAACAGCAAGAAAGGCACTATTAAGACGGAAAGAACAGGAGAGGATGTAAATAATAGAGGTGCAGCATGTCGTCGTTTGGGAGCCATTGTCTATATATCTGTTGTAACTAAATGGTCAATAACCCCACCTTTCAATTGCTTGCATATGGGGCTCTTTACTTTGGAGATATGAGTAGTTTCTCAAGTAAAAACAAAAATATCCGACAGGTCTAGATAATCTTCTAGAATATGTGCGAATTGGGGGTTGGACCAAATGCCGAAATGCACTTAAAGTGCCGGTAGAGGCGAACTTGGGGAAAACTATAAGAACGAGTCAACAAGGGAAGAGAGTCGGCTGGATGGGAAGTAGGGAAAGCGGCGTACATGAATTTAAGTCAGTCAAGCCATCCAGAACGCGATCATGCACTGAACTACTGGCCACCTGGCAGTAAGCATGAGTAATGATTTATGATGCCAAAGGGAAACTTTTGGAGAGGACACGTTTGGGATCAAGGGATGCAAACATCCCCGAACTCGGTCGTGTTTGCACCTGTGGTCCCTGCAGATCACGGGCCCTTGAATGACTTTACTTATACTACGTACTAGTAGTACTAGTAGTACATCGTCGAAATTCTTTACATATTACCAAGGGGGGTTTTTTTTTTAGCATTTTTGCACAAATGAAATGTTCCATATGCTATATATTCAAGCCACTATTCGTCATCAAAATCCGAATCACTCATCCATCCGGTTTCGTAGGATTCTCGAATCTCCCCCAATCCATTGACGAGTGTTTCACGTTCATCAACGCCAATAATTCGCCCAGCAACTGTCTCCAACAATTTGATTCTTTCCGCTGTCCGGGAGGATGCAGTAAGCGCTGCGAGAACATTTATCTTGTTTTGCTTTGCCCCTGAGAACATATGACTGGGGTAGCTGTCAAGAATGGGGAATGCTATGGGCGCGTGGAAGCTGTTTCATGTTAGACCAAGAATAGCATCACGTACAAACTGCTACGCTGGCTCTCACCTTTGGAACATCGGGGCTGAATTATAGTAACGCTGCTTCCGAGAGAGGCCAAGATCCTCTCGAGGAACGGACTCGTTGCCCTGGTCAGGTTTTGCTCCACGCCAAACCTGCAGCTGGTTGAATATATGTGAGTTGCTGCTTCCATGCCCATCGTAGGTAAAGTCCAACTCAAATTCTGCCTGAGATTTCACTGCTCCCTGTTCCGAGGCACTTGTTTCAGTCAATGGCCCTTTAACAGGAAGGTGCTGTTCATTGGTTCCATTGTCCGAGGTGACGGAGGATTGCAACTCGAAAATTTTGTGAGTGCCATCATCACCGGCTAAGGAGGACTCGAAGTCATAGAATTGCCGAAGACGCGTTGGAAGTGTAACGCTTTCCATAGCAGAGCTGATAAGTGCAGTGGTATGCCATTCAGACTGCGAGTCGAAAAACACTTTGCTTGGGGTGTGGCTGGGCGGATCAATAATTGGTGTATACAGTGATGATTGGGGGGAGATGCTGTATATGGTCCGGGCTTTGTTCATATCCCGTTTAAGTTGAGTTTGCTGAGATAAGGAGAAGTATTAGACATATTGCAGAGATAAAATAAAAATAACTCACACGAGACACCTTTGATCCACCTTCAATTGCCCAGACCCAGACAGACTTTTTACCGAATTCATCTCGCAGCCTGTCGACATATCTAGCAGAGAAACCACCCCAAGCATCATCAGAACTTGTAAACAACTGAATTGCACGTAATTGATCACATTCCTCTGCGAATGGTCTCACATCTCTATCAAGAAGATCATGCTCTTTGTCAAGGTCACCAAAAAGGTCTTCTCCGACATTCCAATCTTCGAAAGGCATGATCTTGCTGTGCAGCTCATAATCATTCAATTGAACGATCGAGCGGGGGTGATAAAAGAGGCGATTATAGTCAGACCAGTATCGAACTGTTTCAGTTGTAAGTTTGGGAGCAGGGATCCCTGCATCTAGGTTCTTCTGGTAGTCACTTTGAGGGATCGGTGTCTGTTGTTGTATGACTTCTTTACCATCCCATAGGCCTTGGCCGAGGTTCACATCCTCTGTCAATTCATACAGTGCGGTATACTTTCGAAGAGTACCAAAAGCACCTTTTAAATCATATATTACTGTCCTAGGGGTGAAGGTCTCTGTCCCGTCTGCGCCCACACCAGGACGAAAATGGACGTCATGGTCTACAGGAGATTCCTCTTCTCCATTGTAGGTAAAATAAGACTCCTGTTATTTCCTAATCATTAGAGCAGTGCTTGATGAAATGTATATAGCCCATTAATGTAAATGACATATACCTGGAGGTTCCAAAAATGAGTTGCCAAATAATTGGCCCGCTGCCCTAGTTGAAGGGTAATGATTTCATGCATGCTTAACTAGAACTTTAGTGCGCACAGTAACATCATTAGCACACTCTTTGAACAGATAACTTGATCGCCATAACGTACATACATGGTGAAGATCAGGTAGAGCTGATATATTTTTGATAAGTATGAGAACTACTCCAAGTGCGAGTATATCTGCCTCCCAAGAAACCGTATACAGATTTAAAAGGAAGTAATGCCAGTAGTATTGCAAGCATCAAGCCAAATGCACGGACCAGGTGGGATCCTCGCTTCCAATTACGGTTTAACGTCCATCACATTCCACATGATATCTCTAGACCACATTCGGCAAAGACTGGTAGTCAAGGGCAACAATCACATGACATGCCGTGGATGGGCAATAAACAAGCTAAGAGGCGTTGTTGTGGGTGCGTCACCGATAGGGATCAACCGAACACCTCCACAACGATCGATTAACGACGGGACTTGGTTTTTCATTAATACTCCTTCTCCCAAGGCAGACTGTCATGTCCAACTGGGGAACATCAGACTACTAATCGGATAATATATAGTACTGGAACATGGATTCCCCATCAAGCGTCATGTCTAGCCCTTCAAAGGTGTTCAATAATCCTCTGTCAAGCCCAACGAAAGCGCTGAACCCTCTGTCACCAGAGCGCCTGAATCAGCAGGCGTTTCCCAACTCACCAACGTTACCTAATGACGTACGCAATATGCAACGGAAACCTAGAGGTTTATCAGAAGTCCAAGCCAAGGTTGCGTATTTGAACAATTTATCGCGAGGGAACAGTCCAGCAGCGCCTTCGACACAGTCATCTGCCGGAAACTCGGCGGCTCTTCAACGTGCTATCCTAGGTCGTGAGGAGGCGGAGTCCGCACTGGTCAATGTTTCTGCTCAACTCTCAGAAGCCCAGTCTCGTGAGCGTCGCATCAGTGAGAGACTCGAATCGTTGCTCGAAGAATTACAAACCGCAAAGACACGACAAGCCCATGAAAGAGCAGTGTTTGAGAAGGAAATACGGAAGGCGAGAAAAGAGGCTTTTCGGGCAGGGTCTGTATTGGTAAAAGCTCAGGAAGAATTAAAACAGGCGAGATCTGAGGCCAAGGTATTAAAGGATGAGGTCCAGTCAGAACGGGAAGCGAAGGAAAAGGCGAAGCAGGAGGCGTTCGAGCGCGCGTACACACTCGCGGGTCTGATGGAGGAAATGGAGGTATTGAAAGGACGCTTGCGAGCGGCAGAAGCAAACAGCCATGCGGATACTCTAGAAGCACGTGCCCAGGATATGCACAAAGGAGATGTTGGAAGACTATCACTAGCAGAAGGCGACCTTGCATTCCTCCAAACGCCTACCCCTCGAAGACCGAAACGATCTGCAGAAGAATCCGACGACACGCCATTGCAAGGCCGTTTCAACCATTCTGTTGCCCAAGATACTCCTCCAAAGAGGCCAAGGGTCTCCGATGTTACACCTCGGAACGAAATCCGAAATTTGGATTTGCCGGAAACGAAAGGCGACGATATTCACAAATTACAAATACAATTAGAATCCGAACGACAGCTGAGGGTCGACGCAGAAGATATGATAGAGTTCCTGAAGGTGGAATGCATGTTCAAACGATGCACTTGTCGTATCGAAGAAGAGCGAGAAAAGAGCCATATTCAAGATACGACACAACACGCAACCAAAAAACCCGATGGTTCCGACGAAAACATCGACAAAGATGAACATGCAGGCGCCAAACCGCATGTTGAAAACTCTCCCGGTAAAAGTTCTGGTCATTCTATCGAGTCCGCTGAAGAACCAGAACCAGAAGATCAGCCACAGCCAGAGGAAACTACCATAACATTCTCACCTGCCACTGGAACTTTTCATACAATTCCATCTCCTGTCCGAAGGTCACCAACGAAAAAGCTGGAGCATGATATTGTAGAGCTTCCTCAGCTTATCACTGAGAACCGATCGATCCCCCAGCCACAGGTCACTAGCCCACTTGCGAAATACGACGTACCATGGGATGAGACACCTTTTGAACCAGTTCATAAGATCCAAGCCTGTGCTCCGCTCTCCCCCTCTAAGGTCCGTCCTTCACCCGCTACTAGCGACGTGCCATGGGACTCTGAAGTACCTGAGCAGCATCGGTTCGAAGGCAATGTTGATGGACATGATAGCATCAGGAGAATACCATTGCGGAATGAAAGCGTGGAACCAGACCACTTGCTTGGTGTCCCGGGAACGCCTATCGACCGAGAGGAAGCCCTGGCACAAATCCGGGCAAGGAGGGGTCGAACCAACAATATGAAGAGATCTGTCAGTGCCAACGAAAGTACGTTACGCGCTGGTGGCATGGGTGTGACTCCTGTTAGAGCAGCGCGTCGGATTCCTGCCGTTCAGAATCCAGATGGAAGGTACAGTGAGATACGCAGTCGAAGGGACATGAGTGCGCCAGTCAGGATGTTCCACCGGTAACACTTATCTCACATTACATAGCCTGATAGATGTTTACGACGATTTGGACAGAGGCATTTATTAACTCTGGATAACTTATGATACCCTGGTGCTCCAAAGGGAATGGCGTTCTGGGAGGTTTTCTTTTTTCTTCTTCGATGGCAATTTAACGGAGCTCTTAATCACCACTCAGTGTCTTTTGGGTATTCCGGCTCGCCTTTACGATAATTTCGTCTACAACTTTTCTGCCCGATGGGTTTCGGCATATCCTTTTTGCAACACATGATGGGAAGTTTAGAACAAGGAATCTCGGCTTCCTTTCATACTTTCTTTTTGCACCATGCACAGGCATTCCACTCGTTTCCTACTAGGTTCATTGAACTATTTACTACATTTCCTTTGTCCACTTGTATATATCTCGTTCATAATGTAAATAAGTGATTTTCTATGATAAGGTGAATGAAAAGGCTTGACCCCATGAACCTAAGGGTATACTGCGGATACTAGAATAGGTCTTAACCTTTAGATGGCACACATAGTGTGCCTGCTCTCTGGCACAGGCTGTGATACTTCCTAACGCAGTTTGAATGCATGAGACCATCCATTTTGCTTAGGATATACAGCTTAAGCCCTGCACCAGATGAAATTCCGTCGGCGATATGCGATACATACGCCGATTTGAGTCGGAAACATTCGTTCCAGGTCCGCCAATAAAGACACAGCTCAACCAATCATGTCCGTGGCAAAGGTGCTGGTCATTCCACTACTAGTAGTTATAGCGCTCCTACCTGCATGTCTATTGTAACCGTCAGTTCTCCGACTACTTAACGTACTTGGCCTGGCCTGTTATAGGATATCTAATACAAGAATATTATCAAGAGAGCAGGGAGACTTATTGCACCCCCAGTTATTCCTAAGCCTGGCTCTGTAGCCTGCTGTATATCCGTCACTAAAACTGGTACTTAACTCCGGGTTGCTCTGTTAATAAACAGACATTTTGGGTAATGGGCACTGAAGGAACTCTTAGATAATTTTACCCTTGTTTTCTTTCTCCTTTTAGTTTCTCCTGGTGTGAAGAGTTTGCCTTAGATTGATATTGCCATGACCATTTCGGATACATTGCCCGAGATGGGCTTCAGACTGCTTAGCATGATCACGATCAGGCTTTTGCCAGGTCCCCCGCCGCTACTTCGAAAAACACCCCGAGGATGCTCCTAAGGCTACGCTATTCATCCGGGCATGCTTAGACCCCACGATGCTATCTTCAACTACTACGAGGGCGGGCGTCCACGCTAGCATTGAAGAGTACAACTACATCCTAGGCAGAGCCAATAAAATCGACATCTTCGGCCCTGTGCACATAGACTGCAATGTTCCCGCCAAGGAGACTCTGGGGCACTCAAGGAACTCGTCGAGGAGGGTCAAGGGTCTGTCCGAGGTAGACACGGCAACTATCCGTCGTGCGCACGCCGTACCCCCTATCAGTGCTGTTGAGGTCGAGTTCTCCCTATGGAGCGCCAATATCCTCACTAATGGGGCAGTGGACATTTGTAAGGAGCTTGGTATTCCGATTCTTGTATATACCCCGTTGGGGTATGGTTTCTTGATTGGTCAGGTTACCAAGCTGGAGGATATCCCGAAGGGCGATATTCATCATATGTTTGGTCAGTTTCAGCCAGCGGCGAGTCTCGATTCTTTGACATGGAAAGCAACACGCTGGCGAATATCAAGTTTTGCTGACGATGATCGGGGCGAAATTTCCTCAAGAACCTCAATCCAATTGATAAGCTCAAAGTGTTCACCAAGTATCAAGGTGTCACCCCCGCGCAGTTAGATTCGGCGTGGATCCGAGCACCTTCGAATACCGGTGGTTGTGGTGCGATAATTCCTATACCTGGGGCAATGGCTGCTCAACGTGTTGAGGAGAACTGTAAGGTAGTAGAGCTGGATAGCACTCTACAGTCATTTAATGCGTCTGAAGAGAGACGAATAGTGGAAATAAGCTCATAGCTTGGGGGATATATTAGGTTACAAGGTTGTCATATGTATTTCACCAAGGTAGGCTACTCATATGCAGTTGGCGCACGCTTTTCGCTTCTTTAGTCTGTTTCGTGGCCGATTATACCTGGCTTAGCTTGTAGGAAGACCGATTTATCCCGTTAGACTAGATTTGTCTGACTACCCAAAAGTTGTCTATTAATATTACAACTTATCTCAGTCCACGCAATAGCGGATACTGTAGTTAACGTTTTCTAGAAATTATCGAGTATTTTGAAGCCTCATAGTGCCATTCTCAAAATTTCAACCATGATATACTACCAGCAGGATTGGACAACAGTCAAGTTGCAGTGATCCCCTTGTCGAGTAACTCTAAATCAAATTAACAGAGGTTACTTTTCTGGATATAGCAACTACTAGTAATATACTGAGAGCAAACCAAGCATCTTTGGCTCGCTATGGTCTCATGCTGCTTCTTTTGTGTATTATTGATCCAGGGCTACGAATAATCACGTGATTGTTCACATTGGAGGCGCTTCTTGGGGAAGGTGAATATTCCCTTCAGTATTTCAGTGTTAAAGCTTGATTTAGTTGATTGCACGCTGACATACCAAGTGCGAATTTATACTTATTACTTTATTTTCCGCTGACTGCGTTAGTGAACTTGTCATTTCGACGGCTGCCCTCATTGGAAGAATGAATCTTTGCGTCGTTGCACCGCGATCTTGTATCACCTGGAGGATGAGGTGAGACAAATGCAGAGGCTCATGGTGGGACGCTGAAAGGGAGCTTTAGATTTGACTGTGTGGCATACTAGGCAGCCGCTCTAATCAGGAACAGCATCCGGAATACGTTGAGGCAGAAAAGAGGGCTATACAAAGGAGTTATTTATGAAGCGGGTCTTTGGGGATAATATTGCAATTGCTTCTATCCCGTATATGAATATGGCTATTCACCCTGAAGTTAAGTGAAAGAATCTTAGATAAATGAACTACCCATATGGCAATTCAAAGAATGGAAATCCCACAGCAGCGTACACGAGCACTGTCCACATATGCCTTGCGATTCCACCAACAGCGGACCAGCTCCTTGACAAAAATACGGTCTGCCGCACTCCAGACGTCAAGACCCATCTCAGCCATGTCTTCTGTAGTGATCTTGATTGGTTTGTCATCGCTATGTGGAGAGCTGGAAGCCTCCTCTTGAAGTAATGGAGACCTATCATCTTCTTGAGTAGATTGGCGGCCTATGGTGACAGGGGGTTCTAGGTCATCACCCGGATCGTCTTCGTAAGGAATATGATCATCATCATTAGGCTCCACTTCTTCGTCCGGCGCATTCTGACTGTCGTGTCGAGCGATGGCATCGGATAAGGTGACGAAGATCTGTGTGGTCATACGACGGAAGTATGCCACAACGGCAATTTCAGGAGGTTCGTAAGAGGTTTCTGATGGTTGCAAGCTACTACGGCCGACAGATCCAGAAGGCGGGCTAGCTGGATGTTCCACACTCGCTAAAAGCTGAGTATCTTGTTGGATCTGATGTTCTTCCTCCTCCTCTTCTGATAACCCATCACGCTTCTCACCAGCCGATGCCCACCAGATAAAGGAGGTGTACGCTAGCCGGGTCCAAGATATGGGCTCAACAATGGGGCTGGATGAGTATGTTGACGCAGCATCAGAATCGTCCTCCTCGCCAGATTGGCCATCGTCGCTCGAGGAAACTTGACGCAAGCCCTTGCGAAGCGTGGCATAGCGGCGCGCATCCCGCTGTGTTGCCTTTAACTGGACCGCTTGAGGTGTGTTGTGTTTCACGGTTGATGTCGGCAATATGGATATCTTTGGAAATACTTTCTCGGCTGCGTCCTTAGAATAAGGCGGAGGCAACGTAACAAGTACATCGAAGAGCTCAGACTTGATGGTTAGCACGCTATCTGTGCTACAGGCAATCCAAGAAGCATCTGGCTGGGTGTTGGCGGGGACACCTGCAAAAGAAGAAAGATACGGGATATCATGAATGCCAACGTTGAATAGCGGCCGCGGCCGCAGACTAGGTATGCCGGTCGACGGGAGCAAAGGAACAAGTGAATTAGGTAAGGAAGCTAGCAAAGATAGATCGTATACTACTATATGTCAGCAGAGATGTGAAAAGATAGTGGGATAGACCTTACCGTAGTTACAAGGCATATGAACGGGTGCTTCGGCCATGAAAAGTATTTTCTTGCGGAGTAATGTTGCTCTATACAATGGGTATATGAGGGGCCCAAAACAATCAAGGAATTCAGGAAGGGATGAAGCTGGATGGAAAGGCGTCAGGGCCGGCCTGGGCGTTTCCAGCACAATAGCGTCGCTGAATGTGCGGTTTCTAAGTGAGTGGTCCGGTCGCTCTCCGTGCGCCCTCAAGCGAAGGCTGAGAGGAGATTCCAAAGGAGAATCCGGAGGCACGCCGGATAAGTCGCTATCGCGGATCTCATAAGTTTCCCAGTACTTCAATAGCGGTTCTGTATGAGACATGTCTAGGGCATAGATTCTGCAAGTCAAACAGGGTCAGAACAGACGTGAAACGCCGCACGCAATATAGAAGGGGTTAGCTTACTGCGCCAATTCTCTGAGTTTCGGGGCATGTCGCCAGCTTTTACCTAGCCTTCCGGAGCTCAATGGTACTAGGACACCAACAGAAAACATCTTCGCATTTCGCTCAGCTTCTTCTGCGGGCTGGTTGATGAAAGCGCTGATACCAGCATATTGTTCGTGCACGAAATACCTACAACAGCTATGAACTTGATGATATCGTGAACGGTGTTTTCAAACGTACACTAGGTCTTCTGAAACATTGTGTAGGCCAGACGGTAGTGATTTGTATTCGACGATTCCTTCAACCTCAGCTAGCATTCGATTGAGTTAGCCAAGTTCAAGCAGAGAGAACAACCTTGTCGCGAGATTTATGTGTCACTCACCTCCGGGGACTGTGCGCTTCCAGGATACCACATAGCTATATAGTTCTCTGCGGTCAACACGATGTTGTTAGAATGATCATATCGAACTTACCCGGCCTTGATGTCGAAGCGGATCACGAATAAGGCGGCAATGGGAGGCGGCGATTCCAGGACAGGCGTGCGGGGTACATCGACCCCTAAAGGTTTTCTTCTAAGAGGACCGGGTGCCATTGTAGAAACGCGCATAAGAGAAGGAGCTTCCTGACTCCATCAGATGGTCGGAATGATTGTAATCACTGGTGTGGTTGCATTGAGGGGGGATGGGGACCTTGATCCGACCGACCATCGGACGTTGACGATAGCACACAGAGTTGCGGAGATCGAATGGGAACTGTCGCCGCCTGAGGCAGGTGTCTCGCCAGGCTTGGTTAGTCGGCATGGCATTATAACCCCTTTGGGAGACCATCCCCTGTATACTATACCTATACAGTTAATTCAACATCAAAATCAATTACCGAGTGGCTACATACCTCATAAGGCATTACACTAAGAAATATATTAGAGGGTAAATATTGGTGGACATACTTCCTGGTAGAGACTCCCCAGTCCTGATGGCTATTCATCACTGATGAGATTCAAATCCATTGTCTTGGCAAATCAATATTGTTTTGAGCGGCCTGCATAAGTTCGCAAAACACACGACAATATTTCAGGTACAGCTATATCATCAAAAGACTGACTGAAATTTAGTCTTTAATTCACGACGCTTTCTGAGAATCTATTGCATCTTTACTATACCACTGATGCCCCAATCACCGGGTATGCCCCCAATGAATTCTCACTCCTCAAGCTCCTCACTACTGTCAGCATTGACACCACAACCTTAGTGGGCGCAGTCTTCGTCCTAACAAGCGTATCTTGACCAAAGTTGAGCAAAGCAGATCGAATTGTAATCTTGTGGTTTTTCCTATGTAATATACTCCTCATCATGTCCAGACTCTAGAAAGCGAGTCACACTAGTATACTGTGAACATGGAGCGGGAACGATGCATTGCATATTGAAGGTTATTTTAAAATTTACGTTAAATCATCATCACATGGCTTCTACTCAATATTTCTTTGGGCAACTGTAGGAAAGAGTATGCCTTATCCGATTCGAGATACCTGACAGCAGAAACAATGGTCATGCATGGAGACTATCACCGTGGTACGTCATCACATTTCATATGTTGTCTATCCTAAAAGGTGACTGACTGAATGATTGGACAACTCGGTTGGGGACCTCTTCATCTTCTGGTCGCATATTCAATTCTCACTCAGAGTTACAACATGGCTCCCCGCAATGCGTTTAGACAAAAATGGCCTCGTCGCAAGGTACCTCGCTATAAGGAGGATGAGGACGAATTTCGGAAGTAGATGGGCCAGTTATTTATTGCCACGACTGTCGCAAACTCACGACTTATCAACATAATTGTGATCCGGCTTGTAAAACATGTGGCAACCATTTTTCTCCGGGATATGGATGCCCTGATATCTGCAATGCTATTCCTTGTTGTGGATGCTGCGGTCAAAGCACAACTTCAACTCTCGACGCAATACCCACGTGCTCTTTACCTTTCGCTAGCAATACAGGCTCTACTGGTCCCAATGGGCCACCAGTCCTGCAGGCAGGGCCGCGAATCCGCATCCCTTATATGGAGATCCTATGTACTAATGAGGTACTCGTTTCTCTAGATCGTTTTCCCCAGCTTGAAACCCGCTATGAGGATACTGGTCAACTTTCTATTCTCCGATAGAAAGCTGGTAGGTTTAATCCCACCCCATACAGAGTTATTATTGAAGCTGTCGGAGACCCGGAAGCTTTTGTAGATATGATGTACAACACAATCGACCCAATAGTCAGAGCTTTGCAGGGTAAAGTTCTCACTGTTGACATGTATGTAGTTTCCCTTATTTAGCCTTAGGGCTAGCCTACTCACATATACTAGGCTGCACGATATCCGTTTAAAGCAGACCATGGCTCCAAAAACTTGGCATGAGCCCAACGAAGGCGTACTTGGATTTCGTTACCTATGTTGAAAGCTCCGAGTATTGGCATCCATATGTAGGATAATCCAATCAGGCAAAAGGCCGAATACCACAACATATGAGTGCCATTCGCAATGGTTCCTAGGACAGCCTTCCTTATTACATTATTAAGCAAAGCAATGGTTTACGGCGTGCTAACTTTATACGGCAGTGGGCTGTACCTTTTTCACCAACACTGACAAGGCAGTAAAGGTGGTCTTCGAAAATTTCTTAAACACGATCATGTGTCGAGCTTTCCCATCGCTTCCTGTAAAGACATTAGACTTCTTCTTTGGACCATGCCCGCAAGGCCAGTACACAGGGACGAGTTTGAATATTGTGACTCCTTTGCTCCAGGGGAAAGAGCTGGATCCTAAAATCCGCCATGAGCTTATGCAATCTCTGGAAGATTCACCAGACCCTGAGATTCAAAATTGGTCCAAATTCGAAGTGGCTTAGATTATAAGGCTGGCCAGCAACCTGTGAATGAGAGCCTACCTTACAGGAAGCATATGAGCCCCAAGGGCTACTACGCCACCATTTACCAAGCAATTGAGAGCAATGCGAATCTCAGGGGATCCTTCTTGGGGCAAGCAGATGACAACGCTTGAGGAACTTTTGAAGGGGCGGCCATAGATACTAATTCTTGGTTCAAGTCAACATCAGCCAAAACACGCCAGTAAGAGCCGACATATCAAGCTGAGCTTGTCGCTCCGGTTGGAAGTATCGAAGCTTCTGTTGGCATAGTTCTCGACCTTACACCGTTAGACGAATACAAGGCTCAAGGTGAAACTGCCAATGTACCGTGGGGTTTGTAAGAGAGCGGCTTCAGCGAGTCAAACTCTTTAATCTGGATGTACAATCTCCAGAAGTAGGTTCATATTCCAGGTAGCTTTCAGGTTGCTCCCCCTCGCCCCATTGACATGGAAACTATCCGCACGGCCACCAGGAAAGTGATCCTTCGCAGCCGATTGCGCGTTATCATTATATGCGGTGACAGTGCTCAAGAAGCAGCCCTCCCAGATGACGCCCCGTTGAAGAAGGTAAAATTAGCTTTGGCAGAGATAGACCATGATGCCTGGATCGGGATCAACCAACACAAAATCACAAGGATTTTTATCCTTGTACCTGCTCCTCTCTCGGAATTGTGGACTAAGTATGGGAAAGAGGCGTTTCAAATAACGAACGACTTTTGGTTCGTGTCTGCTATGACTGACCTTACAAATTTTCTATCATTCTATGGGTCTGCTCTTTGTGTTCCCTTAATTGTCCGGAGATGGGACGACGAGAACAATGGTAGAATACCTGAGGCTGGCCCAACCGATGCCGTTGTTGAAGGTTTGGCTGACTACGAAAGGGTTCAACACAGAGGATGACCTTCGCCGCTTGGCAGAGGCTCCTGGTAGCTCTATACGATATGGGATTTTAGCCCTTAGCCTTATCCTTCCGAGAAAGAGAGCGCATGGTGCCAAAAGATTGCCAGGGTCAAAGATACGTCGACGTAATACCACTAAGCTCGAGGCCCTCCTTATAGTCAAATTGCTCATAACGGAGCTTGGCCTATAACCCGAAGTTTTATATCCCTTAAACGAGGAGCAGGCTGATAAAAAATCAAGAGAGTACGAGCGATGCCAATGAAAGTGTCGCTCGTGAGGTGGACGATATATTCGATATCTCTACCGAAGAAGAATCGGCCCCCAGTACTGGTCAAGATCTAGAAGATATTCTCAATATAGAAATATCTTAAAAATAGATCTTAATCTAACTGTTTATAACCTGATTGATTTGGATACTGGACTACTATTTATATAGTATCTAAAAATAGTCGAAGACTTAGAAATTTATTATTTGGTATAGATATATTAAAGTTAATATGGAAAAGAAATTAAAGACCTCGGAGATATTATATATTAACCCAAGAAATATATCGTTGTTCAATAGTTATCCGATACCGCAAGCTTTTAAGAATAATATTTACACTGATAATAATAGAATAGTAAAACCCAAAAGAAAATATACTCTGGCTCCAAACAACCCGATAGTAGATAAGAGGCCAACACAAAAGAAAAACAAGCTTGAGAAATAATAAAAATTGCCAGAGGAAGGCCGATCTCATATCGGAACCGTGATACTAACATCAGATGGCCAAAAAGTATTATGTATGCCTTTTTTTCATCACTATTTATCATAAAAGTCAGTGTGGCCGAACGGTTGTCTTGAACCATCTAAGTATTCGTTATTTAATAAATTTCGTTCGCGGGCGCAGATATCCTGTCGCTGACATCTTTTCCTTCTGTTTTTGATTGTCCCAGATGGAAGGATCTGTATACGTCTCTCTGAAAACAGAGTCAGACCTCACCCACGTTCATTTGCTTTCCCTACCGGTGACAACTTCTTACTCAAAACCGCGTAGATGCTTGGAGTAACCAAGATATAACCGCTGCTTTTAGAGGCTGTTTTTACTAGCCGTTGCCATGTATTGTCGTTGCCAGATGTATTCCCCGTATCCCCGAGAGTAAATACTATCCGATACTCGACGTGTCTCTAAGCGCAGAAGGCGCAGCCGTCGTGCTGGTGTTGTATAACTAGTATGTGTCACTGATGAAGTGGAGCTCGGTGAACCTTGAGCTGGCTGGCGCTGCGGATAGCGTGCTAGTTCTAAGTTAGGGTTATACATCACTGCTAGAGTGTTTTGATGATGTATATAGCCAATAGTGAGATCTAATAAGCAACCAAGTCAGTGTGGCCGAGTGGTTAAGGCGATTGACTCGAACCATCTACGGAATATATTCGATATCAATTCCATTCGTGGGCACAGGTTCGAATCCTGTCGCTGACGGTTTTTTCCTTTTTGCGCTGCCTGGTGATGGCTATTTTTGTATTAAGTATATAACTACCCCGTACGTATTGTAAAACAGCAGCCGAGGCGGGGGACTGTGGTGAGAATTGACAGTCCAATTCTCATCACACCCACCACCACACCTTTTGCAAACTGCGCCAAGCCCCCGCGCGTCAGAAATTTTGATATGCGATACCCCATGCGGTGACAACTCGTACCCAATATATTGATAAGAAAGTTAGATATTCGGGGTTTAGTAAAAAGTTATATGTGGGAACTAAGAATCAAGCTGTGACTTATCGACAAGTCCCGGGTTATTTCAATTCACAGCGTTTCTTGCTCATGGTTGGCAGTAGACCATACCATCCATCACTTATTGACAGTGTATATATATATAATAATAATACATATGGGTAGATTTGGACTACAGCCTGACATTATTATACCCTCCCGGCCGGACGGCAAAAATCGTCAGCGACAGGATTCGAACCTGTGCCCACGAATGGAATTGATATCGAATATATTCCGTAGATGGTTCGAGTCAATCGCCTTAACCACTCGGCCACACTGACTTAGTTGATTGTTCAATCAAACATATTGTTAACCCTGGAATCTTAGAGTAGTTTGTGCAGAGCATAAGGACCATTCAAAACGCATTTAACCGCTTGGTGGTGACCTCTGCTGGTCGCAAGACGCATTGAATGCCGAGGAGGAGGACATACGGAGTCACAATTCCTACATAGTAAGTACAAAGCGAAGTGGGTTCGGTATGTCGGATATATAATTGTACAGCTTGGGTAGATTGCACAAATTCATAAGCGAACAATTGTTGAACACCTTGCAGAATTTTAACAAATTGCAACCTGTACTACCTGAACTACTACTGGGTGTAGTATGGCTGCAGTATGTCGGTTCTTGCTTTGGGACGCGTAACGTGTGGATCACTGGGGACAAATGCTGTTCGATCATGATAATAAAGGCCAGTGTCTTGAGAGGATTGCTGGGCTGTGTAATCTAGTACCATTAACGACCCATCCCCGCGTGTCCAGACTCTAGTCTCGAGTGTTAGGGTACCGCTGCACTGACCATGAACTGATCGGGTTCAACTACACAGTAACCTATCCGATTGAAACTTATGGACCTGACGTAACAGTGAATAGAACTACTGCGGTATGGTACGCTAGGACACTGTGGGTCAAGGAGGCTGCAGTGATAGGTATTACTTATTTTACTTGGTCGTGTCTATGCGGTGCAGAAAATGAGTGTTCCTGGTGTCATCTTTCTTTAATCAAATATAGGGTTGAAGCATTTCACCACCTGTAAAAGGACAAGGACAAGCATCCCCGGGCCATGGATGACTGGATTTAAAACGGTCCAGACGTAGCCGAATAATATAACCAGAAGCGGTTAGATCCAATCATGTGCCTTTTCCAGCCTTGGTGCCAGATCTCTCGCCGTCGTGCTGATGATCATCTGGTTTCCCGGGCAGCCCGTAGCTCAGCGCTAGCAAAAGCTGAACTAAAATCTGTCAGTGTACGGTTACGATACATTTGATACTCCGTACATACTAGTAGAAGAGGGTATTGATGTATGTATGGACATACATACAGGACCTCTACTGATCGAATCATCTCGTCCAGATTTGACAATAATGTGATCTTTCTACCCAACTTAAGACATTGCTTATAGTAGTGGTAATCTATATGGTTGTTTATAATTACAGTTCCTGCGACTATCATAAGATAGTAATCCCTATACACACCCACTAAACCCTTTCCCTTTCCCCATTATATCTTTGTCAAGCTTAAAATGACAAAAACAGAACAAGAAAGAGCATTAGGCAGCTGACCCGCAATTTCATCATCAGCAGGAACTTAAGTCACTTGCACTTCTCCATCTGCGCTTCACCCGCCCACCGCCTGTTCCAATTCTCTTTTCTCTGCTGTCCTTTCATTTCTTTTTCTTTCCTTCCTTGAAGCTGGGATTGACTTCCGCCCGTGTCCGTGTTCTCTGGAAGATCAACTGGGACTACGTTGCTGTAAGTACACAGCTTCTCCTGCAGGGTTCTAAATTGCCGCCAATAAACAAACAATCACCGAGTGACGTCGTCGGGTACAACACATGCTATCAACAAAAACATCCACTCACCAGTATATGGACGGCAGCCTCACAATTACCTGTCCCTTTTGTTATATGCTGATTTGCTTTTTTCTATAAATTATGCTAACGATCGTCTCGGTCGCAGACATCGATGCCGTCCCCTGCAACGCCGCATCGCCCCTCCAATATTGGGGGAAGTACTAAATCCACTCCAACAAAGCAAAACCCGCTGGATATCGGTCAGCCGCTGGGAATATATGACACTAATTCGGTGCGGGAGAAGGTCCGCAAGTGGCAGCAGCAAGGAGGAGGTGTAATTACGGCGGATGAAGTTGTCTATTATGAGGAGGATGAGGAGAATTCGACTGTCGATTCGAAACCCAAGCCTACAAGGGCACCCACAACGAGAAATAGAAGTAAAAGTACCCCCCGGAAACGAGTTATCAGCGACGAACACTGGAAATTGAATCGTACCCCCACACAGGCTCCTACATCGAAGCTACCACCACCAAAACGCCTTTCGCAGTACACGACCAATGACCCGATCCGGAATCCTCGGGCGGGGAGAAATGAGTCGAGAAAGGAGGATAAGCCACGATCTTCCCCATCCGCCCGGAGCGTGGATAGAGAAAGAGCTGGTGCAGACTCGAGGAGCAGAGAACGGAGGAAGTCCAGGGTATATCGGGAGGGCGACTCCCTGCTAGGGAGCAAGATCGAAGAAGAGACTGCATCGCATAATGGTTCGACTAAGTCTGCCTCACGACCCACTAGTGCAGACAAACCACATGCAGCTGCTATATCAGAATTGGCAGAAGATGCTTCGAAGAAAGGCAGCATCAATGATGACGACTTTGAGTGGACGGCGAGTGAAGCTGACTTCTCAGAGTTATCAAGACGCCGCGCCCGAGGCCCGACCCCAAATCAGAAAGGTCGCGCACCCCCTCCAAAGATTCCTAAGGGTGGTATCTTCGAGCACATGTTCGGTGAATCAAGAAAAATATTTACAAAACCAGAAGCCCCCAGACCCGGCCCCAATAGGGGCTCAAAGATCGAGGCATGGCTGTCTGGAACATCGGATCCATTTTTTGACGATGTTGATCCGGACGTGGAAGTCCCCGCCCCTCTGAATACCAAGAGTAATAGGGCCAAACTGTCGACAAAACGAGAGGAAGGTCGTTCTCCTGCCACTGACTCAGGGGCGGAAAGTGACTCTCGACGGAAGAGCACAAGTAAGCGACGGATACCAAGTAGGGAGGAGCGAGTAAAGTCGATGACGGAAGAGATAATGACTTCACAAGAGTCACAACTGGAGACAACCTCGGCCTTGAGTGAGAAGCGATCTTCTGGACACAGACATAGTCGTTCTTCTTCCAGTAATAAGGAAAGCGCTTCTCGCGAAAAAGAGACGTCTAGCGAGGTGCAAGACACCACTTTGACTGAAACCCAAACCATTTCTGAGGTCTCCGAGGTGTCTGGTAACAATGCGCCGGTCCCGCTCCACCGGGAACGACCATTTCCTAGCACAGGAGATCACAGACTGTCCACTATTGTGTCTGTTGAGTCAATAAAGACAGGCGATGAGGCACAGTCCCAGGAACGTGCTCACGATGCCCCACAGGAGGCGCGTGAACCAACTCCAGTGGAAGAAAAAGAAGATCAGGAAGAAAGGGACCAGTTTGATCCTAATTCTCTTCCAGTAGTATCGACCCAGTTGAAAAGACGGCTTACCACACATGATGACCTCATGTCGGTTCTCTCCGCCCCAAACAGGAGCAGGAGTATCAGGTCTGCTCGTAGCATCCGCACCAACAAAAGCCGCATCACCAATGCTACCGTGCCTGAGCTTCTGAAGGAACTATCAGCCGATGAAATCAGATATATGCGTGAGCTGAAAACACTGGTTGGCGGAGTCATTCCTGTCCTTCTTACTTGCGTTCTTTCAAAATCCGATTCAGCGATTGCTGCGGGTCTTTTTCGACCATCAATGGACCCGAAAGACGAACTGAATTTTAGCAAGCCAATAGTGGACATGGGTGTTGCAGTCGAGCGCTTGAAGACACTGCACAAGCGAATTCCCCAGGACAATGCAGAGTCCCTGCTCACATGGGCACAGGGAGCACAGAAAGTGTACCGTGACTATCTGAAATCCTGGAGATTGGGTTTCAAGGATGTCATTGTAAACCTAGCTCCCCTTGATGAAAGTGAGGCGATGAACAATGCCGACACCAAAAGTTTGGACGAAGGTATGGCAAGGGACGAAAATGGGGATGTCATTGACAGTGACGGCGAAAAGGTTGACGTCGCATATCTGTTGAAACGGCCTTTGGTGCGTCTCAAATATCTCGCAAAGACTTTCAAAGGGATCAATATGCTTCAGCCGTCTGAGAAAGCCGAGGACGTATCTATGGCCTACCAGAACCTGGTAAACGAAGCTCGCCGTCGTGCGCGTGAGGAGCGGGCGAGACTCGAAGATGAGTCTGCTGCTAGCGTTGACCCAACTCGAGCTCGTGATCCTGCGACTTTAGGACCACTTGCCGGTGTGACTGTAAATAGAGCTCGGAGAGTCCGAGCTCGGGATTTCTTCAACCTCTCTCTGTATCATTCGACTGGGCAGGTTATAGACTGTCGCGCAGAGCTCCTCTTGAGAGACAATACACCCGATAACGGTGCTGGAGGGGATCTCCTTATTTGTGAGATAGATCATGCGGACCGTTGGCTTCTTTTCCCTCCAATGGACCTTGCCTTTGTCTCTGCTCGCAATGGCGATATGAAAGGAGAAATTATAGTCATGTTGCGCAGCCCTCCAGGGCATCCAAATGCTTGGCAAGAAATTCTTGTTCTCCGAATCGACGAGGAGGACATTGGCTTGAGTGGGTTCAAATGCTTGGTTTGAACCCGGTGCCGCCAGCGATTTGTCGAAGCCAGAGCTTCGTTGAACGAGCGAAACAGCGGCAACGAGTACAAATAGCTCCCTCTAGTAGTGAAACCAAGGAGGCACTACCGAGCTCTATCACTGTTGATATTCCTATCGGCGAGAGGGCCGTCTCTGGTACACTGCGGCGCTGCTCACTCAGGGAGAATTTGTCTAACCCGAGCACTGTCGGATCTTCTTTAGCGACCGAATCACGCACTTCCTTACAAACTGCAATCACCCGCGAATCGGACTACGCCGCCGGGGAAGCAGATTCGCCAACCAAGCCATCGCCACGAACACAGCAGTCCATACTACATTCTAGAGACCCACGAAAAACTGCAACAGGCGAAGAGAGATCCCCTACTAGCCTCAAACGATCAAAAGCAAAGAGGGTTGCACGGCATGACGAGGATAACCCCCCGGTTCCTAGTCTGCCAAAAGATCAAAATGCCGGTGGCCCTAAGGCGGCGCCTACAACTCATCGCCCAGATCATGACGAAAAGAAAGACCATAAAGAACATCGTCCCCCGAAGACTCCCACAAAGGATGAACCCGAAGCGATTTCCCCTCGAGTATCTTCTGTCCCTTCTATGGACTTACCTATTATTCCAAAGCTCAGAAAAGGCAGCAGTCAGACATACATATCTGAAACTTTGGAATCCACGTCGGACGACGAGTACGTGCTAGATTCCTATAGTATACCCGAAACTCCTACACGGAAGAAAGGCCACTCTCGCTCCAACTCCGACACCTCCGAACCAACAAATGGTGAAGAACCTCCTCCACCCCCGCCACACTCTCGTTCCCCAAGTTCGACAGGATCGAGTCTTTCAAATGCCCCAATCCTTAGTCCAAGCGGACCCCTGTCTAGACGCCGTGCTCTTCCCCTTTGAAGCATGAATACGAGCCTTCCACGGCGTCCGACGAGACTTACTCAGACTCCGAAACATCAACTGTGCGACGCTACGACTTGTACTCTGAATCGGATTACTCGGGATCGGACAGTTCGGATGATGATTCGGAGGACGAACTACCGCCTCTCCAAGAGCACCACGTTTCAAAACCGACCGTGCCGGCCTCCGTGATTACGTCCGCAACTAGTTCTTTGTCTCCTTCAAATTCTGTCTCTCAAGGTGGATATAGATCTGTCCCTTCACAACCCAACAAGTCATCCACCGCCGTTGCTTCCGTCTTTGCATGGTCCGATAAAGGTTCCTGGGAGAGCCTTCTGCCCGATGAATGTAGTATTTATGTTAGTCCTGGACTAGTGGAGGCATATGACGTGAAATCGGCCTCTGCCTCAGATGACGATCACACACCATCCAAACGGGAACGACCACTGATTGCTCTCGAACTAACGCCCCTGGTACCCATCCGACGTGGTACAGCGATCGATATCAGTATCCGTTCTCCTCCTACTGAACGGTCGAAGGTATCATGGAGCAACAATATTATGTTCCGTTCCCGCAATGCAGATGAATGCGAGATCTTGTATGGCCTCATAAACCAGGCGCGCACCACTAATCCTACCTACATAGCTTTGCAAAACGCCCGAGGCCCTTTCACGCAGCAACCCGCTCCTCTAGAACGCCCCTCCAAGAGTGGGGGGTTATTCGGCTGGCCACGTCGTAGGAAGAGCTACCGTGCGTCAAGCTCCCCTCGCTCACTTGCTGACAATTCCGAGAGTAGCGTTGGGACTATGAGTAGTGCGTTCTCAGCTTTGAAACGATTTGGTGCAGGGGGCAAGATGTTCAACATTTCACGATCTTCAGTTACTTCTCGGAGTGGCCAAAAAGAAGATAGCTTATACTCGAGCTCTGCGGGTTCGGGAACAAACCATACATCCACTTCTGGAATTGGCCGGATAGCAGCTGCTATTAAGAACGTTGACGGTATTGGCCTTTCGAACGCAAAGATTAGGCTTTATATGCGCGAAACTCAGTCCAAATGGCGTGATATGGGTGCTGCTAGGCTCACGATTATGCCGGCGACCGCGGAACCTCGACGGTCAGAAACAGCTGCCGGCGGATCCAACGATACCAGTACTGGGACAGAAGGTGCTGAAGGAAGCCCACCTCCTTCTGGAGCTGCCTCTCCCCGGCGCACTATAGATTCTGAAAAGCGTATCCTCATCCGCGGCAAGACACGGGGTGAGATTCTTCTTGATGTTTGCCTTCCTGAAAGTTCCTTCGAACGAGTAGCAAGGACAGGTATCGCCGTGTCAGTTTGGGAAGAGACTGAAGGTGGCGCCATGCCGAAGAAAGGTGGTGTTACTGGTGGCTCGTCTAAGATATACATGATCCAAATGAAGAGCGAAGCCGAGGCAGCATATACATTTGGCCTCGTTGGAAAACTCAGATACTAGATTTTTTTTTTTGAGACTCACAGCAACATCATACATGTCGCAATCCTTTTTTACCTAAGTGCGAATTCTCAGCCCTCCTTTGTTGAATTTCCTTCCATCATTTACCCTGGCCTTTTGCCTCGAACCAATTGCATTTCGATTGATAGATATCCTGCATATCCATACCCCCTTCAGTTTTTTCGCTCTGTTTTTCAGATATTGTTACATTTCTGTTTATGTGAGTTACGAGATCAGATGTCATCTGCATGTATGTATGTGCCTACGAGACAAGGAATGATTATCATTATCCTATTCTGTTGGGTATTTTTCCAAATATAGCATCATCGCCGGTTAAGAATTTCAAGTGTCCTAACATCTTTCATAAACGAAGTATTTCATTTCACAGCCTTGCGATGGAAGGTAGGCAGAAATGCAGTTATGTCAAGTACTGTATATAATTGAATAGATACAATATATTTATATGATAATCCCAAATACCGGCATGAGCATATACAGTAAATCGAGGATACTCTATCCTTAATCCGACAAAACAACCGGCATCAATGAATCAGTCTCCTTTGTCAACGTTGTGCTAGATTTCTTGAAAACGAAACTGATCCTATTATCCTCCTCTTTTAACATAGCGAGAAGCACGTTGTCATCAATAGCTTGTTGGATATCTTGCGTATCATCAGTTGTGGTTGTTAGGTGGTAGGGGTCAATATGAGAGTACTGAGACAGCGACTGTTGCATCTTATCCTTCTGCTTGTCAGATTTGGTGTTATTGATGCTTTTGGACGTTCTAGACCCAGTGCGTGCCGCGCGATTCGCCTTAATCATGCGCTCTTGCTTCTCGATATCCAGCTTGGAAGCTTTAATGAGGGTCAGAACGTCCGGGAAGTCCTCCTCCACTTCCTCTGAGTCATTTGAATCCGACACATTGCCTTGCCCATCTGCCAGTGAGCCAGCATGAGACTCTGGGGTCGACACGATCTGTCCCCTGCCCCCACAACCACAGCCTAGAAGCTCGTGCGTTTGACATTTGCTATCCTGGTCAAGACGGAAGAGGTCTTTTAGTTCATCTCGAGAGAACTGGGCAGTGCTATCCTTGTGCTCCATGACGCTATCTGCGAGTCCGAGCTTCGTCACTTGGCGTTGCCATATCTTCTCTTCCAAGCTGCCCTTCAGCAGAATGCGGTATATTCGACAGTGTCGTTCTTGTCCGTCGCGATGGATTCGGGCCATGGCTTGGATGTCGGTAGCTGGGTTCCAGTCCACGTCGAATAAGATGAGGCGGCTGGCACCTATCAGGTTCAGTCCCATGCCTCCTGCCTTAGCGGATAGAAGGAATGCGAAGCAGCGGTTCGCTGGGAAGCGGTTGAAGTCTTCAACTAGAGATTGTCGTTTTTGCGCCGGGGTCGAGCCATCTAGTCGTAGAAATGGAAGTGATAATGAGGTTAGGAGCGTGGCTAACAGGTTGAGCGTGGATGTGTAGTTTGAAACGAGAACAACTTTTTCTGAAGTTGAGGTATGCAGGATGTGTAGTAGTTGGTCTAGTACCCGGATTTTAGCGCTGGAGGATGGAGAAAAGTGTCGTAAGAGATTCGGAGGTAGAGAGGATAGTAGAGCTGCGATTGTTTCGCTGGGTGTCTCGTCCACATTTCTTGGGGTAAGCAACGAGGGGCTGTTGCAGAGCTTCTTCAGGATGGTGATAAGCTGCAGAGCGCTCTCTGAGTTGCCAACGGCACATTGAAATACAGGTGAAGCGAGCACGTTTTGATAAATATTCGCTTGAGTGGGCGTTGGGTCACAAAAGAGTATGTATTCCGACTTTGGTGGAAGGTAGTTCGCAAGAATGTCTGCGGTTCTCCGTAGCATAAACTGAGAGGTAAGTTCACGAAGTTCTTCGTTTCTGGCTTCGCCCTTCTCAATCTCTCTCCTTGTTGCCTCTGGCTGTCTGCTCTTCACAATAGGACCCTCGAACTCGCGTACGAATGCCTTGAAAGTTCCCAAAACTCCCGGGTTAACCAGATCCACCGCCGCGAAGAATTCCTTCAGGTCGTTCTGGATCGGAGTACCCGAGAGAATCACTCTTTTAGTGGCATTCAGCGACTGTATCGCCTGTCCACTTTTGTTTTGAAGTGTTTTCAGTCTGTGGCCCTCATCCGCAATGATGATATCGACCCCAGCTCCTTGTGCGAGTCCTTCCTGCACGGTTCTTAGTTTTTCATAGCCGACGATCATGATATTGTATGCTCTACCCCTTGTGAAATCAGTCAGTCGTTTTCGCTTGTCATCAAAGACAAATACGCCAATCCGCTCGTTCCCAAGCCATTTCCGGAACTCCTTCCTCCAGTTATTGATCAGAGTCACGGGGCACACAATAAGCGCTTTCTTAACTTCAGGGGGATTCTCATAAATCGGATTCTGCTTGAGTAAGGTCCATAGTAGTGTGATTGTCTGTAAGGTTTTACCCAAGCCCATATCGTCCGCTAAAATAGCACCTTGGCCATTGAATGATCGCATCCCCATGACACATTCATAGAGGAACTTTACTCCTTCACGCTGATGCGGCCGCAAGTGTTTGGCAAGGATGGGATCAACCACAACGTCGACAACTCTTTTCCCCTTAGGCGCGGATGATGGTCGTTTCATCACCAGTGCACCGGGCTGCTTGGGGTCATGACGAGGAATGGGCTCCTCGGCAGACTTTTGCGGGATAACAGTATTTTCTAACAGCGGTCTTTTGTATGCGCTAGATATAGAGCTTGATTTCCTTGATGCGGGATTTGGAATAATCTGCATTTGGCCTTTCTCCAATTGATTCTCCTTGGCAGTCGATGTGCTAGGTTTGTTTCCCGACACAGGCACAAACCCTTTCTTCGGTGGCACTGCCGGCGGAGTTGGGCTAGGTTTTATTTCGAGAAATTGCTTCCCCGACAGATACTCCTTCTTTGACATTTCCGAGTCTATCTCAACTTCCTTTCCTCCGATCGAGAGCATAGTTCCAGGTTCAAGATGAGAGGAGTGCATGGCCCGACCCATGTCCTTGCCCGAGACGTCCTGCAAATGAACATAACCATTTCGGACTGAGAGTATACCATCACCATCCCATGTCTTGTTCTTTTTAGTGGTAGGTTTTCGCCTGAAAATTGTCAGCTTTGTCTCTTTTTCCCGTTCCTCTCCTCTCTTTAAGAGCACGGTGGTGATGATGCCGTACCATAAAACATTAAAATACCGTTCTCCTGCAGACCCATCGTCCTTGGCATTGTCACCTACTGGTTCACCTATATTGCGCACTTGGACCAGAGGCTTCCTCTCACTTCTCATCGATGGACCTACACTATCCACGGTACGGTCTTGGTGCAGACGCGGCCGCTTAGCTGGTGGGCCATGGTTATCCAGAGTATGGGTGGATAAATCTGATTTAGTGTTTGAATCTTCCGTATTTTTCCTTATCAAAGGAGGCTTGAACGGTTTAAAGACCATGACGTGTGGCCTTCAGACTTCTCTTAGTAGCATTTCGTTCCTTTCAGCGGACGAGTGTCTTTACCCGTCAGACGCGGCGTGGGCAAACGCGTGGTCACATGATTTACAAAGAGGTTGTGTAATGCCAGAACAAGAATAGAGGTGGGTTTCATTCTTCACCTATGAACACTAGTACAGTGAATACGGTAGTGATCTTAATTGAGACATATAATTAACGTCCTGGCTTGCAGTACCAGTCATTTCTCTAAATTACTAAAATTCATTCAAACACACGAAGCAAACGAAGATTATTACATGCCATTCAGAACTAGGCCAACAGCCTTAATTTAGTCCGAATTAAATATGAAGAAAATATACATGTCGTAAGTGTGTATAGACTGTAGTGATGGTGGGTTATCTATCAAGATATCTAGTATGTTCGATATCTCTGTTGAGCGTTCACCCTTCATAGAAGAGTAGTGCTTACTTAGCGTCATCCATCAGCACCTTGTCTGTCAGAGGGACGAACTTCGGTCCTTCATAGGATTTCATCCGGAAGAGCCACCAGATGGTCACAAAGATTGTCAATCCTCCGGTCAGCAGACTAGCGTAATTCATCGAAGCTGCGTCAGTGGGCAAAGCATATGGGAAGCAGAAGATCACGACAAAAGCGAGAATGTAGATGCAGGACAAGGCGTTAATGAGATAACCGATGCGCCCCATCCAGAAATGGCCAGGGGTGAATGTAGAACGACGAGTCAGAAGATGTGGAAGAATAGCGGCGCAGTAGGAAAGACTGGACAGTTGCACGAAGCAGCCGACGAAAGCATTGAAGGCGGTGGTGGAGCCGACATAGATGCAGGCGAGGATTGTGACGATCACACCACAAACTAGAGTAGCGTTGAAAGGGTTGTGCATACGGGTGTTGATGTGCGCAAGCCAACCGGAGAATGGAGTCGCTTTGTCTCGGGAAATGGTCCACAGAGTACGACCAGCAGTGATATAGCAGCCGGCGCATGTAATAACGGTTGGGAGAAAAGCCACAATGAGTAAACCAAGGGCTCCGCCCCTAGACCCCGTCGCCTGATGGTAGATTTCGGCTAGAGGGAAACCATAGACGCTTGAGATAACTGCATCTAGATCAGTAATCGAGTAGAACACTGCGATCATGTAGAGGACGCCGGTAATAAAGCCGACCGTCATCTGGGCGAGGACGGCCTTGGGGATGTTCCGACTCGGACTGCCAGTTTATTAGGGACTTGTACGCAAGTAGGGGGTTTTTTCTTGGCAAATACCTAGGGATCTCCTCTGCAAGATGTGTCGAGCAGTCGGGCGTACCCACGCTGTAAGCACCATTGAGCATTCCCGCAACGAAGACAAAGCCTTCGCTAGAATATCCGGTACCATTTTGCCATGTACGCCATACGTCCGAATTTGATGCGTAGCCAGTACCATTTACATGGGGCATGACAGCGCACACAATGATGGTAATAAACACACCCGCCAGGATGAAGAACATTCCAAGGTTGCCGATATGAGGGAGCATCCGGTTC